CCCATTAAACTTTGTTTTAGTGGTTCTCAAAATTCTGTCACAGATTTTTGGTCAAGTCATTTCCATTGAAGAGTATTGGTTTTAAAAACGAATAACCTAAAAATTGCCACACAAAAGAACCCATCTGACCCACAAAATGTTCTCCTTTCCTTCTGAAGGATTTATGATGCATTGTAGTCAATAATCAGTCTTTTACAATTAAACTTAAATGGCCAATTGAGACAAACAGTTCGGAGACCATTCTTCCACCAAGCAGGTGGCAGGTATTGGGGATAATATTCATTTAGCCTTCTGAGCTTTCCGGGTAGACTTGGTGACTTTACCAGCTCTAGCTGCCTTTTTCTCCACTGCTTTGATGACACCCACAGCAACTGTCTGTCTCATGTCACAAACAGCAAAAGGGCCCATGGAAGGATAGTCAGAGAAACTCTCAATATACACGGGCTTGCCAGGAACCGTATCAACAATGGCAGTATCATCAGATTTCAAAATTTTTGGGTCATCTTCAAGCTTTTTCCCAGAATGATGATCGATCTACTCCTTCAGCTCAGCAAATTTGCAAGCACTGTGAGCTGTGTGACAATCCAGCACAGGTGCGTATCCAGCACTGATTTGGTCTGGATGGTTCAGGATAATCACCTGAATGGTGAAGGCAGCTGCTTCTATTAGTGGGTTATTTTTCTGTTACCAGCCACACTGTCATGATGAACATGTTTGACAGACACATTTTTTCTTTTTCCAACCCTCACCTGAGGACATTTTTTTTTCCCTATTTATCTTCAGATAGAGTGGGAGGGAAGGAGAGAGGGGGGGAGATAGAGGTAGAGGGAGAGAGAAACATCAACGTGAGAGGGCCACATTGACTGGTTGCCTCCTGCATGACCCTGACCAGGGCCAGGGATGAACGGCAACTGAAGTATGTGCCCTTGACCGGAATTGAACCCGCGACCCATTGATCCATGGGCCAGTGCTCTAACCACTGCTCAGAAAACAGGGCAGGGCAACAGACACATTCTTGACATTGAAGCCCACGTTGCCCTCAGGAAGAGTTTCACTCAATGCTTCATGGTGCATTTCAATAGACTTTCATTTATTTCAGTTGTAACATTGACTGGAGCAAAGGTGAACACCAGGCTGGGTTTGAGAATGCTAGTCTCCACTCGAACTACAGGGACAGAACCGATACCACCAATTCTGTAGACATCCTGGAAGGGCAGATGTAAGAGTTTGTCAGTTGGATGAACTGGTGGCAGGATGCAATTTAGAGTTTCAAGCATGATTCCACTGGCATTGCCATCTTTATGGATGAATTTCCATTTCTTGAACCAAGGCATGTTAGCACTTGGCTCCAGCATGTTGCCACCTTTCCAACCAGAAATTGGCACAAATGCTACTGTATCAGGGTTGTAGCCAATTTTCTTTTTCTTTTTATTATTATTTTGCATTTATCTTCAGATAGAGCGGGAGGGAGAGAGGGAGGAAGAGAGAGGAGAAACATCAATGTGAGAGAGACACATTGAGTGGCTGCCACCCACACGACACCAACCGGGGCCGGGGACAAACTGCAACCAAGGTACATGCCCTTAGCGGGAACTGAACCCGAGCCTCTCTCTGGACCACAGGCTGACGCTCTAACCGCTGAGCCAAACTGGCCAGACGCCAATTTTCTTAATGTAGGTGCTCACTTCATTTATGATTTTCTCCTATCTCTTCTGGTTGTACGATGACTCAGTGGAATCCATTTTGTTAACACCAACAGTTAGTTGTTTCACACCCAGTGTGTAAGCCAGAAGGGCATGCTCACAGGTTTGCGTTCGTGGAGTTATCTGCTTAAAATTCACCAACCCACCCTGGCTGCTTTGGTTCAGCAGTTAAAGCGTTGACCCACAGACCAAAAAGCCACCGGTTCGATTCCTGGTGAAGGGCATGTACATCAGTTGCAGGTTCAATATCTGGCCCTGGTCAGGGTTGTGCAGGAGGCAACCAATCGATGTGTCTCTCTCACATCAATGTTTCTCTAGCTCTCCCTTCCTTCTTCCCTCCCACTCTATCTAAAAACCAATGGAAAAATACCCTCGGGTGAGAATTAGAAAAAAAGTCCCCAACCCCAGCGACAACAATCAAGATGGCATAGTCAGCCTGAGATGTGCTTGTAATCATGTTGTTGTTTTTTTATCCTCACCCGAGGACATTTTTCCATTTTTTTGTTCAGATAGAGCGGGAGGGAGAGAGAGAGAGAAACATCGATGTGAAGGGACACATTGAGTGGCTGCCACCCGCACGACCAACCAGGGCCGGGGACAAACTGTAACCGAGGTACGTACCCTTAGCGGGAACCGAACCCGGGTCTCTCTGTACCGCAGGCCGAGGCTCCAACCGCTGAGCCAAACCGGCCAGGGCTGTAATCATGTTTTTTATAGTCTCTGTGTCTTGGGACGTCAGTGATGGTCACATAATACTTACTGGTCTCAAATTTCCATAGGGAGGTATCAGTGATGCATGCTCACGTTCAGTTTTTAGTTTATTTATCCAAGACCCAGGCATACTTGAAGGAGTCCTTTCCTTTCTCAGTAGCTTCCTCAAATTTTTTTGATCTTTCTTTTGTCCATCTCACCACATTTGTAGATCAGATGATCAGTAGTGGTAGACTTGCTGGAATCTACATGTCCAATGACAACGATGTTGATATGAGTCTTTTCCTTTCCCATTTTGGCTTATATTTAGCAGTGGTTTTCATGATACCCATGTGCTGGTGGCAAACACTGCGAAAAAGTCCCAGTAGCTTTTTTAAATCCTCACCCAAGGATATTTTTCTATTTATCTTCAGATAGAGTGGGGGAGAGGGAGAGAGAGAAACATTGACATGAAAAGGACACATTGACTGGTTGCCTCCCTCAGGACCCAACCAGGGCAGGGGACGAATGGCAACCGAGGTACCTGCCCTTGACAGGAATCGAATTGGCGAGTCATTGGTCTGTGGGCCAATGCTCTAACCACTGAGCAAACCAGCCAGGGCAACAGTTGTTTAATTTTTTTATTTTTATTTTTTCATCCTCACCAGTGGACATTTTTTCCATTTTTTGTTCAGATAGAGTGGGAGGGAGAGAAAGGAAGAGAGAGAGAGAGAAATATTGACATGAAAGGGACACATCAAGTGGCTGCCTCCCGCACAACCCAACCAGGCCAGGGACAAACTGCAACCGAGGTACGTGCTGTGCTCTTAGTGGGAACCGAACCCGGGTCTCTCTGAACCGCAGTCTGACGCTCTAACCACTGAGCAAAACCAGCCAGGGTGCCACAGTTGTTTTTAAATAGTTTTGGGACTTAGGGGAGAACTGTGCATGAAAAAGAAAGTGTAGTTTGAAATAGTTCTGGCTTAGCTTTTTTTATTTTTATTTATTTTTATTTATTTTTTTAATCTTCACCCGAGGACATTTTTCTATTTTTTGTACAGATAGAGCGGGAGGGAGAGAGAGGAAGAGAGAGAGAGAGAGAAACATCAATGTGAAAGGGACACATCGAGTGGCCGCCACCCCCACGACCAACCAGGGCCGGGGACAAACTGCAACCGAGGCACATGCCCTTAGGGGGAACCGAACCAGGGTCTCTCCGGACCGCAGGCCAACGCTCCAACCGCTGAGCCAAACTGGCCAGGGCTGGCTTAGCTTTTTTTTAAAAAATTTTTATTTAATTTATTGGGGTGACTGGTTAATAAAAGTATATAGGTTTCAGGCATATAATTCTACCATACATCATCTGTTCACCACCTCAAGTCTTCTATTTTTTAAAATATATTTTTATTGATTTTTTTTTTTAGAGCGAGAGGAAGGGAGAGAGTGATAGAAACATCAATGTGAGAGAGAAACATTGATTGATTGGCTGCCTCCAGCACATCCCCTACTGGGGATCGAGCCCACAACATGGGTGCGTGCCCTGCCCGGGAATCGAACCGGATCCTCTCAGTCCATGGGACACCGCTCAATCCACTGAGCCACACTGGCTGGGCAGCATTTTTTTTTTTTTCAATCCTCACCAGAGGATTTTTTTTTCCCATTTATTTTTAGAGAGAGTGGAAGGGAGGGGTGAGAGAGGAGGGGAGAGGGAGGGAGAGGCCGACGTTGATAGGAGAAAGACGTGTCAATTGGTTGCCTCCCGTATGTGCCCTCAACCAGGCGGGATCTGAGGGTCCAGGATCGAACCTGCAACCCAGGTACATGCCCTTGACTGGGAATCGAACCTGCGACCCTTGTTTGCCTGGGCCATGCTCTAAGCACTGAGCCATGCCAGCCAGGGCTGTCTTAGTATATACCTATGTATGTATTTATTTTCAAATCCTCACCAGAGGATATTTTTTCCATTGATTTTTAGAGAGAGTGGAGGGGAGGGAGAAAGAGGGGGAGGGGGAGAGAGAGAGAGAGAGAGAGAGAGAGAGAGAGAGAGAGAAACATTGATGTGAGAGACACACTGATTGGTTTCCTCCACATGGAACCTGCAACCTAGGTACATGTTCTTGACCCGGAATCGAACCCACGACCCTTCTGTGGTAGGGCTGACGCTCTAACCTCAGAACCACACCGCCCAGGGCTGTGTTTTTTATTTTTATTTTTTTGCAAAATATATATTAAATAAGGAAAATTAAGAAATTGGGAGCGTCCTTGGGTCTGGGCCACGCCCACCTTAGTCGGCAAAAGCCTCTAAAATCCCGCCCAGTCCCGTCATACTCAGCCTTTCACCTTGCAAGCTAGGCCTTCTCCATCTCTCTGAGCCTGGTCCGTGCAAACCCACTCCACGCTTCATCCCAACCCATCACCGTAGAAACGCAGACCCAGCATAGTCTGATTCGGCCTGAAACAAAAACTCCGCCTCGTTTTGCTTTTAGCCAATCACACTCCAGCTCCCGCCCCATTTAGCCTACTCCGGTCCATCGCCTTCCAAATCTCACCTCGTAGCAGAGTCCCAGCCTATCAGCTTCCAAGGCTCTTCAGCCACATCCAGTTCATCTTTCCACTCGCCCGGCGGTTTGCCGAACTACTTTTCCCAGGAGGCGTCGCGGCCGCGCCGCGCCACATCCGGTTGCGAAGATGGCGGCTTTCTAGCGAGTCGGAAACCCAGTCGGAGGGAGGCTTAGGCTACGGTGAGCAGAAGTTGGGTGTTGAAAGCTTGCGGGGCTCGTTTCTCGATGCCTAGCTCCCGTAGCCCTAGAGATCTAGCCCCTCGTCTCCCCTGAATCTTCCATTTCCAGCTCTGATTTCTCCTGCAGTCTAGCCTCCATCCCTCTTATTGCAGCTAATTCCTTGGGTTGTGAGGACCGCAAGGCGCTCAGAGACCATCCCTGGCAGCCCGCACCCATTGCCCAGTTTGGTAGGCTGTTTCATTGGCTTCCTGTCCTTTCCTCAAAGAGGCCTGTAACACCCAGATCCGCGCCCCTCCCTTGTGTAGACACTCCCGTGTACAGAGAGCTCCTAGGCAGTCCAGAGCCCACTGGGGAGAATTGTTATTCCTTTATTACTCCTTTATTCACCGAAACAGTTTCAGTTTCAGGTCACAGAAAACCCAACTCAACCTGTCTTTTAAGCAAGAAAGGGGAGTTAGTGGCTTATAGACTGGTTCCAGGTGTAGCTGGATCTAGGTGCTCAGAAGTCTGCTGTTCTCAGTGTGAGCATCACTCAGGCAGGCTCTTTCGCCTCTTGGAGGCTAAAGAGGCTCCTAGCAGCACTCGACTTGTATCTTCTCAGCTCTGCAACTCTAAGGAGCCCCTCTCCCCTAAGAGCACTATTGGAAGTCTCAGAGCTGTTCCTCACCAGCCTGTATTGGGTCATGTCCCCATATCTGAGCTCTTCACAGTAGTCAGTTGTAGTCACTGGCTGAGGGTGGGGGTGGCACTACAGAAAAAAATGGGAGGCTATTATCTTAAGTCAGAGTGGATGCTTGGCTGATAAGTGTACAGGATGAGGAAACTGAGGCCCTGAGAGGAGTGATTCATAGTCAGTAAGCAACGAGTACCCTGTCCTGCTAGGTAACCAAATGTTTCTGAAACCTCTAAGAGCAGGATTCTGGCTTCCCCCATCCCTGCTTCATCCAGCCACTCAGGAGTCATGGAGGTGGTAGAGCCCAGCAGTCCCACTGAAGAAGAAGAGGAGGAGGAGGAGGAGGAGGAGGAGCAGTCAGTGGAGCCAAGACCCCGCACACGCTCCAATCCTGAGGGGGCTGAGGACCGGGCACTGGGAGCCCAGGCCAGTGTGGGCAGCCGCAGTGAGGGTGAGGGTGAGGCGGCCAGTGCTGATGATGGGACCCCCAACTCTCTGGGAGCTGGCCCCAAGCCCTGGCAGGTGCCCCCACCAGCCCCTGAGGTCCAGGTGCGGACGCCAAGGGTCAACTGTCCAGAGAAGGTGGTAAGTGGGAATTCGGCCTTCAGCTCTGAGACTTTAGGGAACCTTGGGTTAACATTCTTGCCTTTTGGGATTCACTCTACAAACAGCCCTTTTGTATTAGTTTCCTGGGGCTGCCAAAACAAATTACTGCAAACTGGGTGGCTTAAAAAATATAGAAATTTACTCTCTGATAGTCCTGGAAACCAGAAGTCTGAAGTCAAGATGTTGGCAGGGGCCCCATTCTCTCCCGAGGCTCTAGGGGAGAATCCTTCCTTATTCTTTCAGCTTTGGGTGGTTCCAGGCACCTTGGCTTGTGTCTGCATCACTCCAACCTCAGTTTGCATCTTCACATGGCCTCCCCCTCTCAGTCTCTGTGTCTCCTCTTCTGTCATAAGTATACTTGTCATTGGATCAGATGACCTTCTCACAATTTCTTTACTTTAATTACATCATTAAGGACCTAATTCCAAATAAAGTCACATCTGAGTTTCTATCTTCTGGGGGCTACAATTCAACCCACTATGTCCTTGTTTCCTTCTTTCTGTGTCACATATTCTCCTGTTTACGTATTCACTTAGTAACGTGGACTTTTAGTCCAGTGCTCTTTCCCCTGAGCCACCGACTTCCAAAGTGGATAACTTGGGTGGGAATTGGGAGTCATCTCACCACCTTTTCAGACAGGTCTGCTTAAAGAGGGCCAAGCATGTTGGGGCTGGTGTTAACATCCAGGCACTAAGTGTTGCCAGTCACAGTGCCCTCACAAACCTCCACCTTCATTGCAGATCATCTGTCTGGACCTGTCGGAGGAAATGTCACTGCCAAAATTGGAGTCATTCAATGGGTGAGAGGGACATTTTAGGGCTTGAATGTGTAGCCACAGCTGGGAGGGGCCCCACAGGGCTCTCTCTCAGACTCACACCATTGCGGTCTGGCTCGGGTCCTGGTGATATCAGAGCATAGCAACAGTAACTAGTAATGATGCAGTGGTGGCCCTTCAGGCTCTATTCCAAGCAGTGAGAGCTATCATGTGCCACCCATGTCATAGCAGTGACTTAGAAACTCAGAGAAGCAAAGTAACTTATCTAAGACCTCACAGCAAATAGGCAGAGCCAGAATTCAGACTCAGGCTTAACTAGCTAACCCCAAAACTTTTTCCCTGAAAAGGTAGGTCTCTGGGGTCAAGCAGCAGGCCTGGAGAGATGCTGAGGGTAAGCCTGCCTTCCCCTTGCTGGCACCCCGACCACCGTAGCTAAGCAGTGGTCTGGGGTACCTCACAAGGATCAGATGTGAGACCTAGGCTGGCCAGAGGAACCCATTTGGAGAGAGTGAGAGCTGGAGAGGGCAGGTCAGCTGGGTTAGGTTTGGGGCTGGACTCTGCCACCCCCTGCTGTGTGACCTGGGCCAGGGCCTCATTGTAGAGCTAGTGGAGGGTTCCCCAGGATGGACAGGTGAGGGGATGTGCCACCCTGAGGCCTGGAGTCCCGTCCTTAACCACTCCCCTTATTGTCTGTTCTTCCCCAGCTCCAAAACCAATGCTCTCAATGTCTCCCAGAAGATGATTGAGATGTTTGTGCGGACAAAACACAAGATTGACAAAAGCCATGAGTTTGCACTGGTGGTTGTGAATGACGACACTGCTTGGGTGAGGCTGGGGCACCCTGAGGTCCCCTGGGGGCAGGGACAAGGCTGGGTACCTTGTGGTCACCTAGGGGTAGAGAGCACCTTGCTGAGATTGTGCTTCCCCACAGCTGTCTGGCCTGACCTCTGACCCCCGTGAGCTCTGCAGCTGCCTCTATGACCTGGAGACAGCCTCCTGCTCCAACTTCAGTATCCTTCCACGCTGGGGCGCCCCATGGGGTGGAGAGCAGGGGGAGGGGGGCTGTTCTGTCTTGTCATACCCGGAACTCAGGAAGCCTGAGCAATGGAGGGGGCCAACTCACACTGGCTCAGGTCCAGATCCCTGCTCTGCCACAGGCTTGGGCCAGTCACCTCTCTGGCTTTCAGTTTTTTGGTTTTGTTTTTCAGAATTTTTATAAGAGTTTATTTGAGCCAAACTGATGACATTACCTGGAAGCAAAATCTCACATGCCTCATAGGCTCTCAGTTTCTTCATCTGTAAAATGGGAGGCAGAGAACTTCTTACCCCATGGGTTGCTGTGGAGGTAAAGTTGTTACACAGAAGCAAAACCAGCTAGTTTGGACTCTGGGTGTCAAAACTGCACCCACAGAGGGTACACTTCATGCAGGGCCACTTACACATTTGGTGCTCAATAAATGGCAATGTGTGACTGAAAAGTCAGTTACCACTACATCACACTTTTTGCTACTTTGAACATGAAAGGTTCACATGCAGTTCAAAACTTAAATAGAGCATCACCCCTGTGAATTAGAAAGCTGGTGAATGTTGGAGGAGGGGAACAGGGACACCCATGGATCTTTGCTTATAAGAAGAGTGGCCCCAGCCCTGAGGGAAACGTTTTTTTTGTTTTAAATTTTTTTCCTTTATTGATTTTAGAGAGAGAGGAAGGGAGAGGGGGAGAGAGAGAGAGGGAGAGAGAGAGAAACATCGATGTGAGAGAACATCAATTGGCCACCTCCTGCATGTCCCTCAACGGATCAGGCCCACAATCTGGGCATGTGTCCTGACCAGGAATTGGACCAGTGACCTCTTGGTGCATGGGTCGACATTCAACCACTGAGCCACACTGGCCGGACGGGAAAGGGGGCTTTTTAATCACCAACAGTCTTCAGGGCATCCTCTGCTGAGGAAAACAAGCTCAGAGAGGTGACTAGGCCAGGATCACACACAGGTTTCCCACACAGTGATTCCTGGTGCCAGGTTCAGAGGCACCTGGGATCTCTTGGCATCAGGATGAGGGAAGTCATTCACCATTCCCACCCATGCTCTGCCACCAGCATTCTTCTTAGCACCCCTGCCAGATATGGAAGGTCTCTTCAACCTCATGTAAGTCCTCCCTTTTCTGTGTCTCACCCTCTGTGTTAGTCCTTTGGTGGCCCAGTGGCCCTCCACACCATTGTTTTAACCCAGGGGGTGGCATACTTTTTCTATAAAAAGCCAGACAGTAAATGTTTTTGGTTTTACAGACCGTATGGTCTCTGTTATAACAACTGGACCCTGCTATAGTAATCCAAAAGCAGCCACAGAGCCTGTGGACGCAGTGTGCGTGACCATGTGCCAATAAAACTTTATTGACGAGCACTGAAATTTGAATTTCACATCACTTCCACATGTCATGAAATATTCTTTTGATTTTTTCCCCTTCAGTTATTTAAAAATATAAAACCAATTCTTTGCTTGTGGGCCTTAATATTCCAATCCCCATTTGTACCAGCCCCTGATGCTGGGCACAGAGCTTGTGTTGCCTTTACTATAATTAACTTGGTACAAACATTTGAGCAAATTTGCAATGGAGAACATGCTGGATTAAGGGGGGAAGGTTATTTTGCTAGACATTGCCAAAGTATTGTCTCAGAAATTAACCCTGGTTGTTTCCCCTGGCACTAGGATTGATCATACTGCTGAAAACTCTGTCTGTGTGATAGTGCTTGACTTTGAGCATTTTTTCATTCATTTTTAAGCCATTTGATATTCCCTCAGTGATTTGTCTATTTGTCTGTCCCTTTTACCTATTTTTCTATGAGGATGTTGTTGTTTTTCCTTGTGGATGATCAGATTTGCTTTTTATATAGGAAGGACCTTAACCCTCTGCTTAGTGCCCTCTGCCCAACATGAGAACCAGTTGTGGCCGAGTAGGGAAATGTGTCTTGACTTAGCTATAAGATTAGGTCCCTGCCTAAGAGTTCCTGGCCTGGTGGGGCAGGGCCAACTCTAAGTAATGGGGGACACTCAGGGTGGCCAGAGCAGGCTCCAGCTTTGAGTTTAGCAAAGCCTCCCTGCTGGAGTAGGAGAGTTCAGGCAGAGTGTAAAGCTGAGGAGACGTTCTGGGCAGAGGGAACAGCATATGGAAAGGCTCAGAAGCAGCAATGAACTAGGGAGGGGTCGAGTGGGGCTGGGTCCAGCAAGGAGCTGGGCTCTCCAAAGGTAATATGGGAGGGACCCCCAGAGTGTGTTCTGACCTGTACCCTCACTGTGCAGCCAACAGAAGACTGAGCTGCCAATCACGGAAAACGTGCAGACGATCCCACCCCCATATGTGGTCCGTACCATCCTTGTCTACAGCCGCCCACCCTGCCAGCCCCAGTTCTCCCTGACTGAGCCCATGAAGGTGACTGAGGCCTGGGAGAGGGTTGGTAAGACACTGGGAGGGACTTTCTGAGCACAGGAACTGGGCACCTACTGGCAGATCCCAGAGTCCAAGGCAGAAGCTGTGGAATTGTGGTCATGGGGCACAGGATGACCTGAGTCCCAAAGGCTGGTGTTCTTTCTTCCCCTGCAGAAAATGTTCCAGTGTCCATATTTCTTCTTCGACATTGTTTATATTCACAATGGTGCCGATGAAAAGGAGGAAGAGATGAGCTGGAAGGTGAGGTCATGGCAGGTGTGGGTGGCAGGTGGATATAGAACCCACCTATGCTGGGTCTGGGGGATTCCAACTCCCGGCTCCTGGGTCATTCAGTCTTTCAACAGCCATTTCCATATGTCTGCTGGGAGCTCAGGGGGGGCTGGTGGGACAGTGGCCTAGGGAGCAAGTAGGGTCTTGCCTATCTCATCCCCAACACTTCCTGCTTCTTTCTCTTTCTGCCTTTGCCCTGGCTATGCCCTCGTCTTGGCGCACCCTTCCCTCCCTACCTCCTCAGGCTCTACTAGTCATTCACATCCCAGCCCTGAACTAACTGTGGGCCACTTACCTCTATGAGCCCCAGTTTACCCAACTGTGAACAGAGGGAGTTGAAGCCAGTTCCTACTCATACCTCAATATTTAAACCAAAAATCTCTATTGCGGGAAGTCTTCCCTGCTCCTTAAGGAAGATCAGCATGGGGGTTAGGGTTAGTCTACACCCAAATGTCTCCAGACTAGGGGCTCCAGGACTGAGACCCCTTGGTGACCCTAATACTGGGTGGGTAGCAGGGAATGTTTGCTGAATGCAGGAATGTTTTCTGCCTGGAAAACTCCTTTTCACCCTTTAGAACCCACGCTTGGTGCCTCCTCCTCTGGGACACCCTCCAGGGGCAAGGAAGGCCTGTCAGGGGGACCCTTGCCTGAAGAGCCCCTCCCTGGCCCCACAGGACATGTTTGCCTTCATGGGCAGCCTGGATACCAAGGGCACCAGCTACAAGTATGAGGTGGCACTGGCTGGGCCAGCCCTCGAGCTGCACAACTGTATGGCTAAGCTGCTGGCTCACCCATTACAACGGCCCTGCCAGAGCCATGCCTCCTACAGCCTGTTGGAGGAGGAGGATGAAGCCACTGAGGTTGAGGCCACTGTCTGAACCATCCCTGTGCATCCAACCTTGTAAACCCTTGGCTTACGAGTGCTGGGGTTTTTGTTTGTTTTTAAATATGTTTTTATTAATTTTTAGAGAGAGAGGGAGAGATAGAAACATCTAAGTGAGAGATACATCAATTGGCTGCCTCTTGCATGCCCCCTACTGGGGATTGAGCCCAAAACTCTGGACATGTGCCTTGACTGGGAATCCAACTAGGACCTCTCAGTCCCTGGTTGATGCTCAGTCCACTGAGGCACACTGGCCGGGCTAGAATGCTGGTTCTTAAGCTCTGCTCCATGGGACCCCTGAGGGATTTTAAGGAAGCACTCGGTTACTTCAGAGCCCTGGAGGGGAAATCCATGATTCCAGGAAACATCCCAGGGTCTGTGGACACCCATTCCCCATGTTCCTATACCATATCGCTCCCCAGTTTGTCAATTGTAATATGTTCTTCTGTGTGATTTTTGTCATCAGAATAAAAAATTGAGAAATCTTTAACCCAGGTCCACACCAATTACCTTGTGTTAATTTAGGATCTTCTTGGTTACAAGTGACAGAAAATCCACCCAATGAACAGAAAGGGGAATGGCTTGGTTCTTGTGGATGAGAAACCAAGGTGCAGCTTCAGGTTTGACTGTATCCATCTGTTCAGAAAACACTGCCATCGGGGTGGGCTGCTTTCCTCTCAACCTGTGGAAAGGGATGAGATGGTTGTGTTGACCCCAGGAAAGAAAATTCCTACCAAGAGGGGCTGCTGTTGGCTAATTGGTCTCAAATTAAAAAGCAAAACAGCCATGCTCTGGCCGATTTGGCTCAGTAGTTAGAGCATCGGCCCGTGGACCAAAGAGTCATGGGTTTGATTCTGCTCAGTTGTGGTTCGATCCCCGGCCCTGGTTGGGGTCATGCAGGAGGCAACCAATCAATGCCCCCCCCGCCCCCGCTCCTGTATCTGAAAATCAGTGGGAAAATATCCTTGGGTGAGGATTTAAAAAAAACAAAAAATAGCCCAGGAGCCATGGCTGAACAGGGCCTCTCATGCAAGCCAAGCTTCAGGGAGAAAAACTATCTGCCATCCTCACTGAAATGCCTGCCTGCACTGTGTTCCTGCTGGGTGAGCCAACCCTTATAAAGGAGTTCTTGGAATTGTATTTCAACCAATAGAAGGGAGATGATCTCCTTGTCCAGTTGGAGCTGTGTAATTATAGATTCTAGCATCTTTGACACATCAGAATGGCTCTACTCCAGCCAGTTGGGACAGTGCTTTTTGGGCCAAACTGTGAAGACTTGGAATACCCACTTGCATGAGGACAGGCCAACTAAGGGACAGGTGTGGGCTGCCCTATAAAAATTCCTTTATGGCCCTGGCTGATTTAGCTCAGCGGTTAGAGCGTCGGCCTGCGGTCCAGAGAGGCCCAGGTTCGGTTCCCACTGGGGGCACGTACCTTGGTTGCAGTTTGTCCCCGGCCCTGGTTGGGTCGTGCAGGTGGCAACCACTTGATGTGTCCCTTTCACATCGATGTTTCTCTCTCTCTCTCTCCCTCCCATTCTATCTGAACAAAATATGGAAAAATGTCCTCTGGTGAGGATAAAAAAATTCCTTTATGACCCTGGCTGGTTTGGCTCAGTGGTTAGAGCGTCGGCCCTCGGACCGGAGAGTCCCAGGTTTGGTTTCCGCTAAGGGCATGTACCTTGGTTGCAGTTTGTCCCCGGCCCTGGTTGGGGTTGTGTGAGTGGCATCCAGTCAATGTTTCTCTCTCTTCCTCTCTTCCTTCCACTCTATGTGAAGATAAATGCAAAAAATGTCCTCGAGTGAGGATAAAAAAAATTTTTTTTTAATTCCTTTATGGGCCCTGGCCAGTTTGGCTCAGCAGTTAGAGTGTCGGCCCAAAGAGTCACAGGTTCAATTCTGGTTAAGGGCACATACCTCGGTTGCGGTTTGTCCCTGGCCCTGGTCCAGGTTGTGCGGGAGGCAACCAGTCGATGTGTCCCTCCAATATCAGTGTTTGTCTCTCTCTCTCCCCCACCTTCCCACTCTATCTGAAGATAAACAGAAAAATATCCTCGGTTGACAATTAAAAACAAAAATTCCCTTATGGCTGGATAATGCTTATTCCTGTTCTACCAAAGGCTGATTTGTTGGCTGGAGTTGAAACAATTTGTCAGAGAGGGCAGTGTTGTTCTACGTTGAGGTGTTTGCTCTGAATGAAGTCTCTTTCACTACATCCCAAATTGAGGATTCCTGTTGGCATTGAATTGGCACCATGACCATTGGTTGACAGTTGTGACCACTACCCAAACCCCAGCCCAGGTAAAGTGAGGGCTTCCAGCACCCCCTTATCTGGCGTTGCCTGTGTCATGGGCCAGAGCTCTGCAATGTTCTTTCTGGTTGTTCAGGCCTGGATCAAGCCTCTCCTGAGAAAGGGAGGATTACAGGTCCCAGGAAATAGTGTGGGTGCTCCACAGAAGGGAGACAAGACAGGCACAAGTCCACCATTCAACTATCTGTCTGGATAAGGAGCAATTGTGAAAAAAGTTTACCGGATAGATCCTCAATTCCATATACAATTTAAATGGCTTTAAGGAGCAACAGCTTTTCCTTCTCATAGCATTTATTAGGCACCCGTGTGCCAGGACTCTGTAATGAAGTGCTCATTCAACATCACACCAGTCTGGAAGGGATTCTTCTCCCATTTTGCAGATGGGAAAACTAAGGACTCAGGGGCCTAGCGTCCCAAAATCACGAACTCCTTGCCCCGGGAGACTGAAAACGGGCGCCGCAGAGATGGGAGCTGATAATTGAATTTGCGCGCTAATGGAGGCGGAGGCCTCCTCTGCAGTGGGCACCTCCGGTACACTGGCTCACAGCACCACCCCTTCCAAAGATGTGTTGCGTTTCCCCGTTTTGAGACCAGATAATGGCACACCCGGCAGCCTCCACCTGCCCAGGCCCTACCTGAGCACCTTTTGAGGTCGCGGGCCTGGGTGTGCGGCGCCGGGTGGCTTAGGTGCATACCCTGTGCAGCGGGTAGGGAACCCGGAGCCCGGGGGCGCGGGGCGGGGCGGCGCATGCGCACAAGGGCTCCGCGGGAAGTTTGAAATTGGCAGGCCAGGCAGCCCGGACTAGGGGACCGCGCGGGCATGGGCTCAGCGGTGGAGCTGGCGCTGCGGCTGCGGGCAGCATTGCGGGAGGAGGAGCCACGGTAAGGACGAGGGGGCCAAGGCGGGCGGGCCAGGACAGGGGGCGCGCATCTCGGTCCACTCTGACTCCCTGATCACAGGGCTGTCAAGGAGCTGCTGCGCCAGGGCGCCGACCCCAACCTGGTACTAGTGGACGGTGCGGCGGCGGTCCACCTGGCGGCGGGAGCCCGGCACCCCCGCGCTCTGCGTTGCCTCAAGGCTCTGCTGTGTGGAGGCGGAGACCCCAACCTTCGGTGAGGCGGGGACCCCGGGCCAAGCCTTTTGCCCAGGGGACGGGTCTCCCCAGTTCGAGGGCGAGGCCTGGGAGTCTCTATGAGGGCATCCTACGTTCCAAGGGTGGGGACTTGGTGCCCCAGGGCGGAGCTTGGGGAACTAGGGGAGGGATCCTGAGAACCCAAGGGAGTGGGCTAGGGTTCCAGACTAAGTATGGGGGATGGGGTTGTGCTGGGGTCAAAGTGGGGATCAAAGATTCGGATCTGGGGGTAGAATCGCTAGGGTCAGAGAGCAGAGATTTGAGTCCCAGGTCCAGGGCGTAGGATCTAGATTTCGAGGGTGTCTCAGGCTAGAGGGTGGAGATGGGGGGATCAGAGCCAAGGCTTCTCCGCTCCTGCCCCAGATCAGCCGAGGCACTGACACCGTTGCACGTGGCTGCTGCCTGGGGCTGTCGCCGCGGCCTGGAGCTGCTGCTGAGCCAGGGAGCAGACCCCAGGCTGCTTGACCAGGTGAGGGGCCCTACATGAAGAGCCGAAGGGCAGACCCGGAGAGTGAGAAGGGAGGAGGGAAGAGGGCTTCTGGCAACCCCTGTTGATCATCCCCCACCCCCCCTCCAAGGATGGACTGCGGCCGCTGGACCTGGCGGAACAGCAGGGGCACCAGGACTGTGTGCGCATCCTGAGGAAGCCCTGGATGCTGCCTAGGACCCCTACCTGTACCTGGGCAGAGACCCAGGTGCTAGAGCCTGAGCCCAGCGGTGCGTAGGGCCTATATGGAGACAGGGGCTTGACCTATGGACGTTTATCATGTCTCTGTCACTGATTTCCAGTGTCTCCTGCTGGTTCTGTCTCATGTCCAGTGTCTCTGGTCAGCTGTGTTTGCCTTCACTTCTCTCTTCTCCCTTTGATTCCACCCACCTGTTTCTGTCTGATCCAACTCCCATTCCTGTCTCTGGCTTCCCTCTCCCCTGCTGTCTAACCCCAACTCTCATCCTCTGCTCTAGGCTCAGTCCTCAAGAGAACGGGGCTGGATGCCAACCTCTCTGGACCTCCCACTCTGGACTCCACAGCACTGGGCACAAGTGACAGCAGGGACATAGATCTGGAGGCTAGCGCTGGACCCCCCAGCTTCGTTGCCAATCCTGAGGCTGCTGACAAGAATGGCAGCTTGGAGTCCCCTCCAGGGTTCTGGGACTGCAGCTCAGATGCCTCCTTTGTCACAGCAGTTGAGGCCTCTGGAGCCAAAGACCCAGCCCCCCAAACATCTCCCTGGGCTGGGTTATTGCCCCAGACTAGGCAGCAACTCCTACCTCATATCCAACCACCCCAGAGGGTGCTAAAGTCTCTGCACACCCCACAGTTGGAACATAGACCTGTCATGATGGGCAAGGAGGCTGAATTAAGAGCCCGTTTACAGGCCCTGACTCTGACCTTGCCAGAAACAGCCCCCTCCCACATGTCCCCACCAGATAGGAGCCCAGCCCACAGCCCCCATCGGGAACCACTGCCTGGACCCCTTGACTTCCACTTCCTAACAGATGACCCATCGTCCCTTGACAGTGAGGTGGCCGCCCTCTGGTTGACAGAGGACGAGGCAAGCTCCACAGGTGGCAGAGATCCAGTCCCCTCTTGCTGGTGCCGGCCGGTCCCAGCCATGTCTGACCTGGAACTGCTGCAAGAGCTCCAGGCACTTGGTGAGAGCCCAGGCCCCATCACTCCCTTCACCTCGCCACATCACCTCCAATGACTAGAAGAAGCCCAGGCTGCTCCTGGTTAGTCTCTTCTGGGCACTCAGAGGTCAAGGAGCTTCCAGGAGTCCCCAGAGACTCTGGCTCTCAGTCCCACTTCTCTCTTTATCTCTGGGAACTACCCCTTCCTCTGTCTCCCTTGACTCAGTTTCCCCTCCCAGGCCCAGACTTGTCAGGGCACAGCCCAGAGCTGACTGAGGCCCTGAAGACAGGCCAAATCCCAGATGCCCAGGCAGATGAGGATGCACTTGCCCAGCAATTTGAGCAGCCGGATCCCAGCAGAAGGTGGAGGGAGGGGGTAGTGAAGTCCAGTTTCACATATCTGCTGCTGGACCCCAGGTACTCGGAAGTGGGAGCTGGAAAATTCTGGAATTGGTTCCTTTATGCTGTATGTTCTCAGGAAGGGAACTGGCCCTCTCTGGTCATAAACCTTATCTAAAAAAGGTAGTTGGAATTATTCAAGCTACTGTCTTTGGGGAGCAGCCACCACTCTCTGCCTTATAAAATGTGGGTCACTGGATGTGGATTCTATATGCCTTGTGACCTTAGAGATTTTCTTTAGGGCTACTCTTGTCACTTTTTCCTCTTTGAGCCAACCCTTTTCATCCAGGAAGACTCAGAACCTGCCAGCCCGAGCCTTCTCACTAACTTGGGCTGAATGTTTTCGGACTTTTGTCAAAGCCATCTTCTATGTGGGCAAGGGGACACGGGCCCGGCCAAATGTTCACCTGTGGGAGGCCCTTGGCTACCGTGGGCGGTCCGGAAAACAGGTATGAGGATAAGTACCGGGATCAGGGCAGGGGCAGTCAGGCTGTGGGCAGGTAGAGGAAGGAGGGAATAGGGAGGCAGATCTCTGACCCTGCCCTGACCCCCAGGCTTGCCCCAAAGTACAGCAGATCTTGGACATTTGGGCCAGTGGACGTGGTGTTGTGTCCCTGCATTGCTTCCAGCATGTGGTCGCTGTGGAGGCTTACACTCGAGAGGCATGTCTTGTGGATGCTCTAGGTGGGTGCCTGGCTTATGGGGTTGGGGAGTCACAGGAAGGGCACTTGATCTACCAATTCCCTAACCCCTTACCTCTCAGGGCTGTTTGTTTGTCCAAGTAATTATTGAGCACCGACTATATACTTGCACATGCACATATATTTTTTCATTTATCTTCAGATAGAGCAGGAGGGAGAGAGGGGGCAAGAGAGAGAAACATCGATGTGAGAGACACATCGACTGGCTGCCACCCACATGACCCCAACCGGGGCCGGGGCCAAACTGCAACTGAGGTACGTGCCCTTAGCAGGAACCGAACCTGGTACTCTCTGGTCTGCGGGCTGACGTTCTAACCGCTGAGCCAAAGCAGCCAGGGCATGTACATATTTTGTTCCATAGGTTTATACCTGCTTGAGAGGAATACACAGTGGGTTCACTGTCACATATTTCTACTTGGAGTTCACTGAGGCTGCCCCTGTGACCTCACCCCCAATCTCTTCAGGAATCCAGATGCTGACCAACCAGAAACAAGGACACTGCTATGGAGTGGTGTCGAGCTGGTCACCCACCCGGCGCCGCCGTTTGGGGGTACATTTGCTGCATCGTGCCCTCCTTGTTTTCCTGGCTGAGGGTGAGCGAGAATTGCGACCCCAAGACATCCAGGCGTGTGGCTGAGCACTGGGGAACTGTCCAGGGTGTGTGAATATTCCAGCTGCCCTGTGTTGAAAACAGCCCTCCATCTTGAGTTGTAGAAGGCTTGTGGGGGCTGAGCAGCAGGGCAGATCTCCCCCTCAGGCTAAGGGAGGACTTTGTTACAGATGGAACTGCTGGAGAGGTGGTGAACTCCCTATCACAGGAGAACAAGTGGACCAGAAGATTCTTTGGAACATTTGGTGCTTTGGAACTTGCCAGTGCTTTGGCAGTTTGGGCCTGTCTGTGTGGACAACGTCCACTTTTATCTTCCAGACACAGGAGACCTACATTGTGAGCTGGGGGCTTCCTCAGCCACATGCAGGGAATCTACCCAGTTCAAGAGATGGGTTCTGCCAGATGTGGTACCTCAGATGAATAACTTGTCTGTCTGAGCCTCAGTTTCCTCAATTGTACAATAGGGACAGTAAGGTCCTACTTCAGGAGTCATGTGGGGATCAGAGGTTGTGACTCAGAGCCCTGCACTGAGCCAGAAGTGGCCCAAGTAGAAAGTCTCCTGGGGAAGGGAAGTACCCTGATGTTATCAAGGTACCAACTGTGTGAGGTGACAGGCCAGGGCTAGGGGAGCTTGTGGGTTGTGGATGTAAGACACCAGCCTTGGTTGCCTTGGTTGCCCTGGCCGGTTTGGCTCAGCGGTTAGAGCATCGGCCTGCGGTCCAGAGAGACCTGGGTTCGGTTCCCGCTAAGGGCACGTACCTCAGTTGCAGTTTGTCCCCGGCCCTGGTTGGGTTGTGTGGGTGGCAACCACTCAATATGTTCCTTTCACATCGATGTTTCTCTCTCTCTCTCTCTCTCTCTCTCTCTCTCTCTCTCTCTCTCTCCCTCACACTCATCTGAACAAAATATCGAAAAATGTCCTCGGGTGAGGATAAAAAAAAGAAAAAAAAGACACCAGCCTTGGGTGTGCAATGCCAGCTTCCCAGCATTGCTTCTCTGAACCTGTTTCTTCTACCATAAAATGGGATCAATAACCCCAACTTCTGGTGGTGCTCTGTGATTTCAGACTATTCACTTTTGCAGAGTTTCAGTAAAATGCCAGGCTGCGGCGCTGATGAGGTGTTAGCAGGATCATTTACGTTTCCAGAAGTTGTTTCTTCAAAGTGTCCAGTGGGTTTAGGGACTGGGGGAGATCCACTGCCTCATTGAGTTCACTGTCTGCTCCTCACTGCAGCTCAGCTAACCAAGTTCTGCAGGGGGTCAACTGTAACCTGGGCAGAGGTTCACCTGCTTAGGTTCCTCCACTTTGGAGCCTATGACTCCCCCCAATCCCCAATGGCTGGTTTGTAATTAGGGACCCAGCCTCTGGAGGGGGCCTGGGCTCTCCCATCTTAACGGAACTGAAGAAACCTCTCTAAGCTGAGCAGCTTCCCAAGCACAAAGTCTCCTGATAAAGCGACATCAATTAAAACTGTGACATCGACCCAGGAATTCACAAACAAGTCACTGGGAAAGAATCCAGAGACCCCCAAAGTTCCCAAAGAGATGGGGTTTGTCTAATGGTTTCCCAACCTCAGCTTTACTAATACTTGAGGCCAAATTATTTTGGGGGTGCAGGCTGTTTTATACATTGCAGGGTGTCAGGAGGCATCCCTGCACTCCACCCACTAGATGTCACTATCACCCTCCCCCTCCCAGAAGTGACAAAACTATCTCTAGAATTTCCCAAGGGACAGCTGTGGGTCTAGTGAGAACCAGTGGGGGAAAGGACCCAAGAGGCAGAAACAGGAGACAATTGTCTCCTCCCATCATCCTTACAAACCACTGGTGTACCTAGATATGCATACATTAGGGTAAAATATAGAGTAAGAGCATGGCCATGGGGCAGGGAAATCCTCCACACAGAAAAAGATAGACTTGGTGGCTTCAAAATAAAAATATCTTTGTGACAAAAGCCACCCTAAATAAGTTGAAAGGTAAAATGGGATAGCAATAGGTACTGACTTGCTGTATGACTTGGGTGAAGCGGATTCAGTGAATTGATAGGTGTCAGGCACTCAGCATAGGGCCTTGTATATAGTTGGCACTCCATTATGGCTGTTCTAATCCCATGTGATATCCAGTGATGCTCACCTCCATCTCCATATGGACCTCTTCCTTCCCTCCAGGGGCAAGGAGCTCACCCCCTGACTTTCTGCCTTCTGTTCTGGGAATGCTGCCCAAGCACCCCTGTGTTCTAAGGAAGGAGGCGAAATTTAGGAAGCAATCCTGGAAGGCTCCCGAGGGGTAGGCACCTGCATCAGCCCAATTTGTAGATGGGCAAACTGAGGCTCGGGGAACCTCTGCCCTGCGGTCGGCGGCACAGGTCTGAAGGTTTGGATTGTCACTTCTTTTTATTGAGTTACAAGTTGAGATGTGCAGGTTCTGTGGCACCAGCCCCCCCCCCCCGCCCCCCTGATCCCTGCCTCTTGGACAACAAAAGCTACCAGCACCAGGGAACAGGGGTGGAGGGGTCTTGGGCAACGGGGCAGCGGCCCCAAGGGCCCCTGGATTAAGCATGGCTGACACGTAAGACAGAGTGGGATGGGTGCCGCCTCGGCCATGGCCATGGCCATAGCAGGGAGGAGGCTTTTGTACAAGGTCATACTCCGTGGGGGTCCCTGCTACAGTCTGGATGGGCCCCATAGGACACAAGCTGATTGCGGAGTGTCTACCTGGCTCCCTTGAATGCCACGCCCAGCCCAGCCAGCCTGGGGGTGTCTCCCAGGCCTGACCTGCCCACCAGAGCAAACGGCCTGCCCAGGTGTTCCTGGTGCAGACCACGTGCTGGCTCTGGGCCTCCTGCTCCTCCTAGATACCCTGCTGACCCGGCAGCTACTTCTCCTCCAAGGGCGCAGGCAGGGCGTTGGGTGGGGGCTCAGGCTCCCAGAGCAGAAATTCGTGGAGCAACGTGTTGACCGTCTCTGGACACTCTAGCATCACCATGTGACTGCCTTCGTCGATGAGTTTCAGGAAGGCCAGGAGCAGTATCTGCAGGGGACAAAGGCTCAGGGAATGCACAGCTGGCTGCCCAGCGACTCCCTGCCAGTCACCCAGTCACCCATGGCTTGCAACACTGGGAAGTCCCTCCTGCAATCTATCCTTCATTGCTCCACTTTCACCCAAGGGGGAACTGGAGGATAACCTGTTGCCCTGCTGGAGCCCAATTCGGTATTCATCCATTCCACATTTATTATGTTCCTACAATATGTCCACAGCAGGATTTCTCAACCCCAGCACTACTGACATTTGGGGCCTGATCCTTTGCTGTGGGACCATCCTGTTCATTGCAGGGTGTTGAGCAGCATTCCTGGTCTCCACCACCAGATGTCAGTAGCACCTACCCCCCCCCCCCCCCCCCCCCCGCCCCCAACACAACCACCAAAAGTCTGCAGAAATTTCCAAGTTTCCCTTGGTGGGGAATGGGACAGAATCATTGCTAGTTAAGAGCTGCTGGTCCAGAGTTACTAACCTTTTTGGTAATATATGATCTAAAGACCCCTAGCCTGCTCTCTTACAATTCTGTAGCCCGCAACACTCACTGGTCTCTAATACAAATCTCAGCTGTGAAGAGCACCTTTTTATATACAGGGGGATAGTGCATAATCCTAATAGCTGGCCAGAGCAGCCCTACTCTCTGGACTTCTTGATCTAAGCTCCCAGGTCTCTGGGACAGAAAAACATGGCCAAGTTCCCCTAGGTTGCTCAAGGGAGATTTAGGGGTGCAATGGCTAGGGTGCTGAGCCCCTACCTCAGCCATGCGCTGGTCTTCTTCCACTGGCACAAACTTGTCATGCATGCCATGGACGAGCAGGACAGGCACAGTAAGCTCAGCATGGTAGACCTCGTCGCCCTCAGGCCAGTACTGGCCACTCATCATGGCCCGCAGCACAAAGGATGACACATTGAATGCATTACCCTCCTTCAGTAGCTGCTTCTCTTTGGCCCCTTGGCGGGCAAAGCCAGCCCTGGTGGTAGGGAGGTACAGCTGAAGTCCTCGTGCCATCTGACCCACCATGGGTGCCCCCATGCCAGCCCAGCTATACAGCTTTCCCGCCCACATGACTTGGGGAGGTGCCAGGGTCTGCCAGGGCTGGGGTCACTCACTTGAGGAAGCTCCAAGCCAGGCAGGGTGACAGGCAGTGCAGGACACACGTGGGCATGTTGAAGATGGAGCAGAAGCTGGGCTCCAGTGCCGTGGGGCCCCCACCGTTGATCATGATCACCTTGTGCACCAGGTCTGGGTACTCATGTGCCAGGAACGTGCAGAAAGAGACACTGCCCAGTGGGTGGGTAGGGTTGAAAGGTGGAGGTCAGCAGGGTACAGCAGTGAGGGGGTTAATATCCACCCCTTACCCCAGAGGCAGGTCTTTGAAAGTCAAGATTCTTCCCCTAGGGTCCATGGGTATTGGGTGGGGGTGAGGAATGGGTAAAGCATTTTGAATGTTCTGAAATTGTGAGGTTGGGGGTATTTTTGTTTGTTTGTTTGTTTTTGTTTTAGGATTCAAATCTATAATTTTCATCAGATCCTCAAGGTCACCATGACCTCCAAAGGGGTAAGAATTAGTTATTGCCAATTGTTGGGAAGGCAATCTGATTTAACAAACCCTTTGGCTGCTCAAAGAAGGTAACTGTTTCCTGTGTATCCCTCCCCTTTCAGGATCTTTTCTCACTGACCTCTGGTGTGCCACATCTGCCTGCCTTATGCAAGGTGGAAGGGCGCAGCCTGAGGAGCCCCCCAGTCCAACTCCTTATTTCCTCTAAAGCTGACCATTGGTTTCTGTAAACTAAGTTTACAATTCTGAAAATTTGTACTTTTTTAAAATAAAGTTTTATTAGAAAACAGTCATCCCATTTATTTACAATTCTGGCTGCTTTCCTGCTATGACACTAGAGTTGTGAAGTTCCAACAGAGACTGACATGACTTGAAAACCTAAAATATTTGCTATCTGGCCCTTTAAGACAAAGTTTGCTGATCTCTACTACAAAGAGAGATGATGGGACAGGCAGGAGTTGGATGGACCTGACTGTGCCACTGGCTCACTGAGTGCCCTTGGGCAGATTGTTTAACCTTTCTGAGCCTCCATCTCCACACTTGTGAAAGAGTAACTGTGGTGACCTCATAGTATTGTTATGGGGTCACAGGAACTAGTACAGATGGGTGATCATTTAATTAGAGGAATCATTTAGCATAAGCATCCATTTGGGGGATTGTTATCATATACACAAATAATAGCTGTTACCTCTCAGCTTGGTTTCCTTTCTTTCAGAAGTTTATGTAACACTTCTTTTCTTGTCTAATTGCATAGACTACAACCACTAAAAACAATGATTCTCAACCTGGCTGGCTGATTGGATTTTGCTTTTCTTCCTGGGTAAAGGAGGGAATGGTACCACTTGATGATGGTCAGACACCCAGGCCCAGAGCCTTCCATAGAGTGAACTCTCATCTAAATGCTAGATGGTATTATCTATCACCTCTTTAAAGGAGAGTGAATTACAGCAAACTGCCTTGTAAAAAAAATTTATGGGATTCCAAATAGCCCTTCCTTGGAGCCCTCGGGATCTCCAGGGTAAGCAACTTTTGAATTTACTTGAAGACATTGGTTCTCAGCCAGGGATAATTCTGCCCACCAGGGGAACTTTGGCAGCATCTGCAGACATTTTTTATTGTCACGATCATCACTAGACCATCTAGTGACATCTAGAGGGTAGAGGTCAGGGATGCTGCTAAATATCCTACAGGGCACATGAAACCCGTCACAGAAAAAAATTACTAAAAATGTCAATAGTGAGAAACACTGCTTTAAAACAATGTTAAACAATAGCAGTGGTTGTGGGAATCCCTGTCTTGTAGCAGATGTTAATGAGATTTTTCATTGAGAGAAATCAGTGTTTTGTGATGGGGTGTCCAGTCTCTGTCAGCCCCCGCCTCTTACCCCCACCCCTACCCAGCGTTGGCTCACCCGTAGGAATGCCCAATGAGCACATTTCGCTTCTTGGCATAGCGCTTGAAGATGGCCCGCATGTCCTCCGCCAGCGCATAGAAGGTATAGGCTGCAGCCACCTGGGGCGCGGAGCTGGCTCCATGACCAGCTAGATCTGGAGCCACCACCTCATAGCCCAGGCGCACAAAGAAGTCCAGCTGCTCCTTCCAGATGGCCAGGGAGCCACCAACACCATGGATGAAAAAGAGCACCACATCAGCCTGGGTGCCCTTGCAACTGGTGATACGCTTCTCACAGTCAATGTGGATGGTCCGCTTGGGGCGGCGGGCTCGACGCCGTCGCCCTCCACTGCTACTCCCGGTGCTGACTGGGCCTGAACGGCCATCGCTGCCAGCTGGATCTGCCAGCTCCACCTCTAGAGAGGCCGGCGGCTCCCCGGAGCCATTCTGCCCATGCAAGAGGTCAGCTCGTGGTGCAGGGCCCAGGTTCTCTACCAGTAACCGCCCGTTTCGGTACACGGTAATTCGGCGCTGGCAGCGGACCAAGCCGGACCGGTCCCCATGGGCTGCATCAGGCAGTGGTGGTGGAGGTGGGGTGGGGGCTGGAGCGGGTCCAGCGTGCTTCACCCTCAGCACACGGCCAGGCTTGACCTCCACAAAGGTATAGCCATCGCTGGACTCAACGCTCTCCAGTGGCCCCACTGCGTTGGGTGGTGCACCCAGCAGGCAGCAGAAGATCCCCTCGGTCACCCCGGTCAGCATGGTGTGTCCTGTGAGTGGGGCAGACAACTCAGGGGCTCTGAAATATAGAGCCCTCCACCCTCATAGCATCTATTTCCCACACCTGGGTCAGGTGAGTCACCATGGGAGGCCCCTTCTAGGCTCGTTTATGGAGGATCAGCCAGCCAAACACTGAGCTGTTCTGTTTTGGTCAGTGCTTGCGTGGTGGTTGGCCACCCTAGTCTATCCTAGAGAGGACCTGGCTATGGCTGACCCCAAGAGGCATCCATAGGGAAGGTGTAGTCAGGGGAGCCTTCCTGGGGAGGGGGGAGGGGAGACATTGTAGCAAATGTGGCCCAGCAGAAGGACCTCCCCCAGCTCAGATTTATAGCAGTTGTGGTTTTCTAAGCTCATTCATTCATCCATCCATTCATCAATTCATTCGCACTTGCAGCCTTTCATTAATTCACTGTCACTAAACTAGTATGTTCTGTGGGTCTCTGAATGCATATAAAAATGCTCTAATCTCAAGTCTCTAAACCTGGCTCCTGAAAGGTGAGGTCCTGGAGGGCACGGTTTGGGACTGAGCTCCAGAGGCTTTGTCCAAATCTCTCCAGACCATGGGCAGCTGGGTCTGTTTCACAGACCGACAAGCTGAGACTGGAACACTAGATTATGGGGGTCTGACACACAACCCCTAATGGTGGAGATGAGGATGGAGAAGGCAGTGCTCTGCCTGGGGGGCCTCCAAGTCTTCATCCTGTTCCCTGGGCCACCTCTCCGTGTCCATGGCAACCACAGGCAGTTACATAACTCAAGGGGAATATCCGCGCAGCACACCCTCATTGTCTAGGGTCTGGAGATGGGACCGACCCCTTCCCCATTCCCATCCTTGGCTCTACGGGGCCAATGCATGCCGCCATAGGCCTTCAGTGGCCCATACTTGCTGGTGGAGGGGAAGCAGGCCGCACCCCCCCACCCCTGGAGGGGTCCCAGCCCTGGACTGCAGAGTGGAACATCGATGCGCCACGCCAGCTCCCCTCCCTAGTGCCAGGCCCCTGCCTCTCCAGTACCTATCAGCACTGTGGCGGGGTCAAGGCCACTGAGGCTTCACGACTTCCTAAGAGCCAGAGCGCGGGCTTGGTGGACACCCCCTCCGAAGTGGAAGACCTGGAGGCCTCAAGGTCCCTTCCTAGGGCCCACTCCCCGCTCACCTCATCGAGGGCTCCGGGCCCGGGGCAGGGCGGAGGGGTCCCGGGCGGAGAAGCCAGCGTCCGCCTGCGCACGCCGTTTACATGATGGCGCGGGGTCGGGCCGGGAGCATCTACGCGGGACGGCGCGGGTCCGGTCAGCGAGGGGGCATCCCACCGCTGATGCGCGAACCGGCCCTTTAAGTCTCTCCCCGGGGGGCGGAGCCGCGCACCGACGGACGGCCACCTCGGCCAATCGCAGGTGCGACTGACCTGCCCTAGTTAGATTATCAATCAGAAGCGGCATGTCGGGATGGGGGCGGGCTCTGGAAGCAACTGCCTAGCCCTCTTCAGGGTTTTACTGAGGTAGAGGGATGGGTTGGGCCTGCCCAGGTCCGAGAAGAGGTCGCAAGTTGGGGTTTGAGGAGGTCAAGGAGGCGGCACCCAGAGTCCCCTCGCTGTGAATAGGATCCCCTCGGCCAGCCCCTACCTGCAAACTGCCCGTCCCCTCCAAACGAAGCCTCTGTGTCCTTTTCTGTACTGACCTTTCCGTTTAGAGATTTCCAGATCTTTCCAATTTCAGGTGAGAAAACTGAGGCTCATAAAGGGCACAAGGTCACAAGGCAAGTGAAGGCAAGTGGGCAGAGATGGGATTTGGAACCACGGTTGTATGATTCTAAGTCTTGGACATTTATTCGTTACACCTTTAAACAGAAGTCTTGGAGCTATGGGTAATTAGGGAATTGGAGTTTTCCAGATCGGCCACTTTAAATAGTGATTCTGTAGTCCCAGCTGCAGTAAGGAGTCCAGAGTTTAAATGCAGCCTCTGCCCTTTGCAGATATGTGATCTTGGGCAAGTTGCTTTCCTAAGACTCCATTCATTTATCTCTATAAAATTAATCCCTCCATGAGCTCTCCATGCAGGTAAAACAGTACAGTAAGTGCTTGATATTTTATTGACATGTACTGGTGTAGTATTGTAGTAGTTTGCTAAATGACAGTGCAGGTAGGACGGGCTTCAGAGGACAAGGGATTAACCATTCTTTGCCCACTCCCAACTCCTAGAATTTGCTGCCAGAGCTGGATTAAGTCCAGCCACCCCACCCCACTCCTGCCCACATGCCCACCTGCCCACTCGGAGTGCTCCTAGGAGACTTTTTTTTTTTTTTAATTACTTAGTTTTTTTGTTACAGATGTTTCTTTTTTTTTTACCCCATTGGCACCCCCTCCCCACCCTACCCCCGCCCCATCCTCGGCTTTGTTGTCCATGTCTATTGGTTATGTATACATGAATATAAGTTCTGTCGTTTATCTCTTCCCACCCCCACGCCCCCTCCCTCTTCTGAGGGATGTCAGTCTGTGCCCTACTTCCATGTTTCTGGGTCTACCGTATTCCTCAGACTATTATGTTCATTATAGTCCGTATATAAGTGAGATCATGTGGTATTTGTCTTTTTCTGCTTGGCTTATTTCACTTAGGATAATACTTTCCAGGTCCCTCCATGTCGTCTCAAAGGATAAGAGATCTCTCTTTCTTACAGCTGCATAATACTCCATTCTGTATATGTACCACTGCTTTTTTATCCATTCGTCTACTGATGGACCTAGGAGACTATTCTTTTTTTTTTTTTATCCTCACCCGAGGATATTTTTCCATTTTTTTGTACAGATAGAGTGGGAGGGAGAGAGAGGAAGGGAGAGAGAGAGAGAAACATCGACGTGAAAGGGACACATCGAGTGGCTGCCACCCGCACGACCAACCAGGGCCGGGGACAAACTGCAACCGAAGTACGTGCCCTTAGCGGGAACTGAACCCGGGTCTCTCCAGACCGCAGACCGACGCTCTAACCGCTGAGCCAAACTGGCCAGGGCTAGGAGACTATTCTTGCAGTAAAGACTTTCCCCCTCTCCCCAAGCTGGGAGATGCTGGGGTGCCTGCAGGGACTCAGCCCCAAGCCTGGCCCTTGAGACCCTGGGGGCTTCCAGGAGAATGTGAGGAGAGCCATGTGAGGGTAGGGTTGGACCAGAGAGAGGGGCAGCGCTTAGGGAGAGAAAATTCTATTTTATTTATATATATATATATATATATATATATATATATATATATATTTTTTATCCTCAACCGAGGACATTTTTCCATTTTTTGTTCAGGTAGAGTAGGAGGGAGAGAGAGGAACAGAGAGAGAGAGAGAGAAAAACATCGATGCGAAAGGAACACATCGAGTGGCTGCCACCCGTACGACCAACCAGGGCCGGGGACAAACTGCAACCGAAGTACGTGCCCTTAGCGGGAACCGAACCCGGGTCTCTCAGGACCGCAGGCCGACGCTCCAACCGCTGAGCCAAACCGGCCAGGGCTAAATTCTTTTTTTTTTTTTTTTTTTTTTTATCCTCACCCGAGGACATTTTCCCATTTTTTGTTCAGGTAGAGTGGGAGGGAGAGAGAGAAACAGAGAGAGAGAGAGAAACATCGATGTGAAAGGAACACATCGAGTGGCTGCCACCCGCACAACCGACCAGGGCTGGGGACAAACTGCAGCCGAGGTACGCGCCCCTAGCGGGAACCGAACCCGGGTCTCTCAGGACCGCAGGCTGACGCTCTAACCGCTGAGCCAAACCGGCCAGGGCTTATTTTAATATATTTAATTTGTTTTTTTTATCCTCACCCAAGGACATTTTTGCATTTATCTTCAGATAGAGCGGGAGGGAGAGAGGAGGGAAGAGAGAGAGAGAAAAATGGATGTGAGAGGGACACCTCAACTGGTTGCCACCCACAGGACCCCAACCAGGGCTGAGGACAAACTGCAACTGAGGTACATGCCCTTAGCGGGAACGGAACTTGGGCCTCTCTGGTCCGCAGGCTGATGCTCTAACCGCTGATACTTAATTTTTTTAAATCCTCGCCTGAGGATATTTTTCCATCTTCAGATAAAGTGAGAAGGAGGGAGAGAGAGCTTGGTTGCCTCCCACAGAACCCCAACTGACACCGAACTGCAACCAGAATCAAACCCGGGACTCTTTGGTCCGCGGGCCGATGCTCTAACCGCTGAGCCAAACTGGCCAGGGCAAGAGAAAAGGTTTTTAAGAAGGTGAATAGGGGAGTATCAGGCAGGGGAGGGTGTGACTGAAATTTAGGGTGTGTGTGTGTGGATGGCTTCACATGCTTGCTAGAAGAGCTGGATATTTTCCCTTGGACGATGGGGAACCATATAAAGTATGTGAGGCCCTGGCCAGTTTGGCTCAGCGGTTGAGCTTCGGCCTGCGGACCAGAGTCCTGGGTTCAGTTCCCGCTAGGGGCACGTACCACAAAAATAAATAAAATAAATTAATTAAATAATTAATTAATTAATTAATAAATTAAAGTATGTGAGAAGAGAAGGGGCTCAGATCTGAGTATTTGAACAATTCTTCTAGCCTTGTCCAGGTGGCACAGTTGGTTAGAGTATCATCCTGTGCATCAAAAGGCTGAGGGTTTGATTCTCAGTCAGGGCACATCCTAGGTTGCAGGTTCGATCCCCAGTCGGGGCTGGTATGGGAGGCAACCCATGGATACTTCTCTCACCTCTCTCTCCTTCCTCCCTCTCTCAAATAATTAAATCTATCTATCTATCTCCATCCTCAGGTGAGGATTTTTTTTAATTAAAAATTCTTCTAGAGCTCCAATGGGGGCACCACCAAAGGCAAGCTTGCAAGCTTACAAATTGAGAAAGCTGCATCCCGGAGAGGAGCAGGGATCACCCCAGGACATCCAGTCAACTCGAACTCAGGCCTCCTGGGCTATCCGCCAAGGGGCGAAGACTTGGCTGGGGCCAGAGGAAAGCTGCTAGCCAGCTGTGTGCCATCTGCCGGGCTCCCGTTGGACGTGGGAGGATCGACCAAACATTTCCTGCAGGTGCCACCAGCTGTGCCACCGTCACCCAGGGACACACTCCGCCAGTAGACTGGAGAAGGAACTACACCTCCCAGCTACCACTGGACATAATGCTTGTACGCATGCTTAAGAAATGCCGTTCGCCTGCCTCTGCTGGTCCATAAGAGAAACTACACACACCTGCGGGTAGGGCAGCTCATGTCTTTGGCGCGCAGGAAGTAGAACTACAACTCCAGGAGGGCCCCGCGGCGAGGGCTCCGCTGTAGGAGAAACTACATTTCCCAGAAGTCTCTGTCCCGCAGTTGCGGAACCTTTGGGTTTCCGAATAGCTGGCGCGGGGGACTACGTGACACTGGAGTAGAAATGGCTCTCTTCAGCAGATTCCCGAATCACCTGTTGTGTCCCGTTAGTACGTCGGCGTCGATACTGGGTGTCAGGTGAGTCCTCAGGGAGATTAGGCAGGTGTTGGGGGCTGGAGCCAGCTGTCTACCGACCACACGACTTGCCAATACCTTGCGCACGTACAGAGCACTTTTTGCAATCATGCTCAGTCCCGGCACGGATCGCGAAGCCCAGGCGTAGAGAGGTGGAACGCCAAGCCTAAGTCACACAGCTCCCCCTCTGACCTTTCTCTCTGTCTCTTTGCCCCTGCAGGTGGCTCCAGCCCCAGGCCTTGCTGCGTCTACCCGCCACTTGGGGACTCCCCACCATGCAGCCGAGCCGGGGCAAGGCACGCGGGAACGAGTACCAGCCGAGCAACATCAAACGCAAGCACAAGCACGGGTGGATCAAGCGCTTGAGCACGCCGGCCGGCGTCCAGGTCATCCTTCGCCGCATGCTCAAGGGCCGCAAATCGCTGAGCCATTGAGCGCGCCGCCGCCGATGAGACTCCCCATTAAAGCATTTCCCTGGCCTCAGACCTCTCTTGCAGCGGCTTTTGTGAGGAGGTTGGATGGCTCAGACTTACGTGCTCCTCCAATTGTGGAGTTGGGTGGGGGGTAGCGGGGTGGAGTGGAGGTGGGGCTAGACGTCTGGCTTTGGACTAGAAGAGGGAGTCGGAAGTCAAACCTTGTCAAGTCCCTTTTTATACTTTTGAATTAAGAAGAATTTCCAACATAGAGCAACAGCTCACAGAATAGTACAGTGAACCTCCTGTACCCACCCATCTCTGACTACCAAACTACCCTCAACCCATCCTGCCCTCTCATGCATTTTTGTTTTCGTTTTGTTTTTAATCCTCACCCCAGGATTTTTCCATTTATCTTTAGATAGAGTGGGAAGGGGAGAGAGAGAGAGAGAAACATTGATGTGAGAGAGACATCAACTGGTTGCCTCGGAAATGACCCTGACCAGGGCTGGGGACTGAACTGCAACTGAGGTACCTGCCCTTGGTCGGAATGGAACCCGCGAGTCATTGGTCTGCGTGCCCACGTTCTAACCGCTTAGCCAAACAAGCCAGGGCTCCTGTGCTTTTTTTTTTTTTTATCCTCATTCGAGGACATTTTTCCATTTTTTTGTGTTCAGGTAGAGTGGGAGAGAGAGAGAGAAACATCGATGCGAAAGGGACACATCGAGTGGCTGCCACCCGCACAACCGACCAGGGCCGGGGACGAACTGCAACCGAGGTACATGCCCCTAGCGGGAACCGAACCTGGGTCTCTCAGGACCGCAGGCCGACGCCCTAACCGCTGAGCCAAACCGGCCAGGGCGTCCTGTGCTTTTTTTGAAGCAAATCTCAGGCATCTGGTTCTTTCTTTCTTTAAAAAAAAAATATATATATATATGTATATATATATATATTTTTTTTACTGCCCGGTGTGGCTCAGTGGTTGAGCAATGACCTCTGCACCAAGAGGTCGCTGGTTCGATTCCAGGTTAGGGCGCATGCCTGGGTTGTGCCCCTGATCACCAGTGGAGGGTGTGGAGGGGAGGCCAATTGATGTTCTCTCTCACTGATGTTTCTATCTCTCTCTCCCTCTCCCTTCCTCTCTAAAATCAATAAAGAAAAAAAAATTTAATATGTGTATATATAGTTTTATTATTATTATTATTTTTATCCTCACCCGAGGACATTTTTCCATTTTTTGTTCAGATAGAGTGGGAGGGAGAGAGAGGAAGAGAGAGAGAGAAACATCGACGTTAAAGGGACACATCGAGTGGCTGCCAACCACATGACCAACCAGGGCCGGGGACAAACCGCAACCGAAGTACGTGCCCTTAGTGGGAACCAAACCCCGGTCTCTCTGGACCGCAGACTGACGCTCTAACCGCTGAGCCAAACTGGCCAGGGCTATATATATTTTTAATCCTCACCTGAGGACGTTTTTATATTTTATCTTCAGACAGAGTGGGAGGGAGGGAGAGAGAGAGAGAAACATCGATATGAGAGACCTATTGATTGGTTGCCACCCGCATGACCCCAACCGGGGCCAGGGATGAACCTTAACCTAGGCACGTGCCCTTGGCTGGCATCAACCTGGGACTCTTTGGTCCGCAGGCTGAAGTTCTAACCGCTGAGCCAAACTGGCCAGGGCTAATATATATTTTTACTAATTGTTTTAGAGAGGCAAGGAGAGAAAGATCGAAATACCAAAGTGATCCCGGCTGTTGTGGCGCAGTGGTTGAGTGTCGACCCATGCACCAAGAGGTTGCTAGTTCAATTTCTGATCAGGGCGCATGCCCAGGTTGTGGGCCTGATTGCCAGTGGGGGGCATGCAGGAGGCAGCCAATCGATGTTCCCTTTCATCAATGTTTTGATCTCTCTTTCCCTCTCCCTTCCTCTCTTTCTAAAAATAAATAAAGAAAAAAAAATTTTTTTTAAATGAGAGAATCATCAATGAGCTGCCTCCTGCACACCTCCTATTGAGGACTGAACCTGCAACCTGGGCATGTGCCCTGACTAGGAATGGGACTGGGACCGCTCAGTTCATGGGAAGATGCTCAGTCCACTGAGCCACAACAGCAGGGTTTGGTTATGTTTTTAAAAATTATTTTATTTTGCCCTGGCCAGTTTGGCTCAGCGGTTAGAGCGTCGACCTGCAGTCCCGAGAGGCCCGGGTTCGGTTCCCGCTTAGGGCGCATACCTCGGTTGCAGTTTGTTCCCGGCCCTGGTTGGTCGTGCGGGTGGCAGCCACTCGATGTGTCCCTTTCACATCAGTGTTTCTCTCTCTCTCTCTCTGTTACTGTCTCTCCCTCCCACTCTACCTGAACAAAAAAAAAAAAGGAAAAATGTCCTCGGGTGAGGATAAAAAAAAAAAAATTATTTTATTTTATTTTATCCTCATCCAAAGACATTTTCACATTTATCTTCAGATAGAATGGGAGGGAGAGAGGGAGGAAGTGAGAGAGAGAAACATCGATGTGAGAGAACGCATCGTGTGGTCACCACTCACACGACCCCAACCGGGGCTGGGGACAAACTGCAACCAAGGTACATGCCCTTAGCGGGAACCAAACCTAGGTCTCTGGTCCGCGGACCAATGCTCTAACTGTTGAGCCAAAGTGGCAGGGGCATTAATTTTTTTAATTATGCCCTGGCCGGTTTGGCTCAGCGGTTAGAGCGTCGGCCTGCGGTCCTGAGAGACCCGGGTTCGGTTCCCGCTAAGGGCATGTACCTCGGTTGCAGTTTGTCCCCGACCCTGGTCGGTTGTGCGGGTGGCAGCCACTCGATGTGTCCCTTTCACGTCGATGTTTCTCTCCCTCTCTCTGTTCCTCTCTCTCCCTCCCACTCTACCTGAACAAAAAATGGAAAAATGTCCTCCAGTGAGGATAAAAAAAAAAAAAATTTTTTTAATTATTATTTTTTTAATCCTCAACCGAGGATATTTTTACATTATCTTCAGATAGAGTGGGAGGGAGGAAGAGAGAGAGAAACATCAACGTGAGAGAGACACATCTATTGGTTGCCACCAGCACGACCCCGACCAGGGCTGGGATGAACCCAAACTGAGGCACGTGCCCTTGGCCAGAATCAAACCCGGGACTCTGGTCCACGGACACTCTAACTGCTGAGCCAAACCGGCCAGGACTAATTTTTTTAAACTAATTTTTTAGAGAGAGGTAGAAATATCTGTGAGAGAGCTACATAGATCAGCTGCCTCCTACACACCCCACATTGGGGATCAAGTCCAAAGCCTGGGCATGTGCCATGACCAAGAATCGAACTGGGACCTCTCAGTCCATGGGATGAGCCACACTGGCCAGGCTGGTTATTTCTTTTCATTTTTTTTTTTTTTTTCCTTTATTGATTTTAGAGACAGGAAGGGAGAGGGAGAGAGACAGAAACATGGATGAGAGAGACCATTAATTAGCTGCCTCCTGCATGTCCCCAACTGGGAATTTGGCCCACAACCTGGGCATGTGCCCTGACCTCTTGGTGCATGGGTTGATGCTCAACCACTGAGCCACACCAGCTGGGCACTGGTTATTTCTTATGTAAATATTTTAGAATGCATCTCTCCAAGATAAGGGCTTTTAAAACATAATCACAAAACTTTTCATACTGAGAAAAAGTCAATTTCTACATATCATTGAATGTCTAAATTTCCACTTGTCTTATAGCTGTCATAATTTTCACAGGTCTGGAAAGCCTGGTGGGGGAGGTGGGAGGGACTTAAATCTTCCACCTGCCCCTTGGGGACCTGCTGTGTGACCTTGAACAAGATCTTAGCCTTCTGAGGTTCGTTTCGCTCCTATAAAATAAGGTACTTCTTTGCTGTGTTCTTGTTGGAGTAATACTTAGTAGCTTCTACTCAGTAACTTATTCCGTACTTAGTAGTAATGGGTTCTTGTCATCACCAGGCTGTCACTTGAGGGGTGAGGGTGTACACAGTCTGGAGGCAGTGCTATGGGACCCCAGAGAAGGTGCCTGTCTAGGCCTGGGGAGAAATGCTGTCAGAAAGATTACAGGAGGTAGCAGAGCTTAGAGAGGGGATTTGACAGGGGTCAAGAAAGGGAGGTTGGAGGGGTCCGAAATTTGGAGCTGAGGAGATTGGACTGGATCCTTGAGGGGCTGGGGAGCCATGGGAGGTGTTTGAACAAGAGAGTTTGATTTGCCCACATGTGTGGCTCTGGTTGAACTACAACTCAAGCACCAAGAGGTCGCCGGTTGGGTTCCTGATCAGGGCACATGCCCAGGTTGCAGGCCAAATAAATCCCCAGTGGGGGGCATGCAGTGGGAGGCAGCCAGTCTATGTTTTCGCTCATGGATATTTGCATCTCCCTCTCCCTTACTCTCTCTCTAAAGTCAGTAAAGGAAAAATAAAATTTTTTTAAAAGAGAGGCTTGTTTGTGCAGAAGCTGTTCAGATATGCCAAAACCTAATGTTGGGACCACCGGGAGGGTGGAAGTGTTATGATGGGCCCCTGTCTTCCGGGGCTACCGTGGGAACCGGAAAAGGCATAGCAAACCAGAAAGAACAGATGACTGAACCTCTTCCAGTTGCAGACTGCAAATCCCAAGAGGCTTCGGGGGCGCAGCCTCCGCCTACTTCCGGATTTTCCTGCCCTATCGCTTCCAAGTCTCGGGCGGGGTTTTGCTCCCTCAACCGAACTTGACTGCTAAAAGAGGAGGCGTGACGACCAATGGGCGCGTGATTTATCCGTATCTGGCCAGTGGGAGCGCGCAGGGACCGCATATCCTGGGGGCGGGGCTAGGAGGCGGGCCAATGACGGGAGGGCGACGGCGCCATCAAGGTGGGCTGTACGGTGGCTGGAAGTTACTGTGCGGCGGCGGCTAAGAAAGCAGCTGTGGTGGCAGCGGTGGAGGCTGAGGCAGTAGCTGAGGTGGTGACGGAGGAAGCAGAAGATGGTAAGGAAGGCCGCCAGGCCTGTACTCCCCCTTCGATCGACAAAATGGCGCCGCAGGCCCACCCACCTCCAGTAGTGCCCGAATCCCCCACCTCCCTGCCAGGCCCCTCAGGCTGGACCCCGCCCCTCTCTGACCTATGACCTTCGACCCCTGGATCCTGCTGTGAGCTTCCTGCTGACCCCGCCCTGTCTTCCCCGACCCCTGACCCCACCTAGGATTCTAGGCCCTGATACCTCATTCATTTCCGGGTCCCGGTTCTCCTGGAAATTGCTTGGGGTGGGGATGAGTTCCTCCGAGACCCCCAGTTCTGGCCTCGTGCTCGGCATGCCGGGTCTGGGCCTCTCCTGTTCAGGAGGGTTTGGGAGGCGGTCTGGGCATCGAGGCGGGGGAGGGGGCTTGACATCGTGACATGCGGGGTTTTGTCGCCAGAGGAAGTGCGACATCGCGGACTGCCCCGGTCTCCTAGAGTCCTGATCTCACTCCCACCATTTAGGGCCCCGACCTGCCCTTAAAAGGGGCAACTTCATCTCTCCGATCCCTAGACCCCTTCTCTGGTAAATGTGAATAGTAATAGTCCAAACCTCATAGGGTTATGACAGATTAGGGAACTGACGTCGTAAAGGGTTAACAGATAAGCTGGGTGACTTGGGGCGGGTGACAGTCTCCCACCTGTCTTCTCATTTTGAAGTGGGGATAATGCCACCTGGTAGTTGGGAGTTTAAAATCCCCTTTGGGCCACTTGCTCATCCTGGGATTTGGGTGTAGTGATTCTTTGGGGTTTGGTGCCCCAACCTGTAAAGTGGAATGGTAAACCAGCTTCAGAGTTGGGCTGAAGCCCGCCCCCCTCACCTACCGTTATTGGCATCCCCAGGTTTGGCAGGGGTGATGGAAGTTTTTGTCTGGATATGTCAAAACCTCAGGGTCCCAGCCCACAAATCAGTACTTGGGATGTGGTGGGGGATGGGTAAAAGACTTCTGTCAGAAAGGAGATGGGAAAGTGGGTTCCTAGAGTGTGGGTACTCAAGCCTGGTTGTTTTGATTCATCCCTGCAACCTCATCATCCACACCCAGTCCATGAGAGGGCTCTGTGGGCTCTGCCTCCAGAACACATCCTGAATCCGTCCATGTGTCTCCACCCTGGTCTAGGCACTGCCATCTCCTACCTCGTTGCTTGCCCCAGGCTCCTCCCTAGTGTTCTTGCCTTCATCCTGCCTCCTCTCCCCCCCGCAATTTGTAATTTACCTGGAATCAGGGAATTTTTAAAGATGTAAATCAGATGATAATACTTTCTAATTTACAAAATACTCCAGCCTGGCTGGTGTGGCTCAGTGGATTGAGCATCATCCCATGAACTGAGAGGTCCCGGTTCAATTCCTGGTCAGGGCATATGCCTGGGTTGCAGGCTCGATCCCCAGTAGGGGGTGTGCAGGAGGCAGCCGATCAATGTTTCTCTCTCACATTGATGTTTCTATCTTTCCCTTCCTCTCTCTCTAAAAAAAACCCAATAAAAACATATTTAAAAAATATATTCCAGGGGCTTCCTTTTGTAACCCAAATGAAGACCTAGCACCCAAGGTCCCTGCCCACCTTTATGACCTCACCTTCACTCTGTACTCTTCCCTACCTGAGCTCCAGCCACACTGGCCTTGTTTTCACATCCTCACACTGCAAGTTCCTACCATCCCTTGTGCCTTTGCACATGCTGTTCCTGCTTGAAATGTTCTTGTGTGAGCATTTGTGATTGTGACCTCAATGTCTCTCCTCTCTTAAGCACACCACCTCTTTTCCTCATTTTGCTTTGGTTGGGTCACTGTTGGGCTGCCCAAAAGGGGACTGACACACGGATACTCAAGTGAGTGCTGAGGCAGTGGATGGCTTTTGGACCCCGCTGTGGCTAGGATTTGTCTGGCTGAGATGAGGATTTTTCCCTCATCTCAGGCCTTGTTTTCCTGCTTAGCTGACAGAAAGTACAGGCAGAATCCTGTCTTCATACATTTGCACAAATGCACTAATGCTTACAGGTGCCTTCTAGGGAGCTCTGTGCAAAGCTGTTTCCCTGTGTTGTTTATTGAGGCTCAGAACAACCCTGGGTGGGGGCCTTGTTGTGACCTCCTAGTTCACCAAAGAGGCTGCCAGGCTGTGAGGTCACACAGCCAGGGAGGAGCCCAGCCAGTATTGAGTGCAGTTCTGAGGCTCCCAAACCTCTCACCACTCTGCTGCCGGCCCATTGTGAGCCCCATCAGGCCCACAGTGGAGTTAGCCCTGCCTTGCCCTCTGCCCTTAGGGAGGTGCCAGTCCAATGAGGGAGGTGGACATATAAACAGATGACCTCCTTAGGGTATGAGTACAGCTCTGGCAGAGGCCCCGGAGGTGTGTGGGGAGGGAAGAGGTAGAGGAAGTTGTTGAGCTAGGTAGAGAGGTTGGCAGGTATTTCCCACATGAAGAAAAGAGGAGCATTCCTGGATGGTGGCACCGTGTGGGCTGAAGATGTGTGTGACAAGAGGCCAGTGAGGACCAAGCCCAGCCAGAGCTGTAGAGGGCTAGAGGACTTAGAGCTGGGACAGGGACCCCTCCTCATGATTTAGGTCCGGGTGCTTGTATCATTGCTTCTGGGCAGCCCTCCCTGCCCCCCCCCCCGCACCCCCCCGAAGACAAGCAGACCTCTCCACTGTCTTGGGCCTCACACAGCATCTCAGGGTACCCTGTCCTCAGGGCCATTTTGAATTTACTGTGCAGCTCTTTGGTCCATACCTACGTCCCCTGCATTGGGTGCTTCTAGGGCCAAGAGCAGGTCTGTTGTGCCCTCTCAGTACCCTGGTACCTGGCGTGGGCCTGCCACATAGTAGGGGCTGGAGAAAGCCTGGTCTGGCTAGGTAAAGCTGGCCCCATAGTCTCAGGCCAAGTTGGGACAGGAGTCCTGGGTCAGGGAAGGCAGGGTTGAGGGGCTTTGAAGTGGCTTTGGAGGAGTAGGTCACCCAGATGGGAGAAGCACCTCCTGGGTGGAAGCGGGACGTCTGTCCACTTTCCAGCATCCCTGGCCTGCCTGTCCCACCAAAGTGTCACTGGGGCTACCCCAGAGGTGAGGACACCTGCTCCTGACTACTCCAGACAGTGGTGGCAGATCACCTGAACAGCAGCTTCCCCAAGGGTGCAGCACCTAGGCTCAGGCATGGGGATGGACAGCCCCTAACATAGCCTCTTAGGGCTCTGAGCCAGCTGGATTTCAGACAGGGAAACTGAGCCACTGGCATGTCACATAACAGGAGCTTGGCCTCTGAGGCTGGGCAAACCTGAATTCAAATCGCCTACCTCGTTTTCTTGTTGGGTACAGATGATCTCAGATGAGTGTCATGTGACCTTTCTGTCTCAGTTTCCTCATCCTTATGATAGAGTGATTTCTGATCAGGAAGCTCCTGGCCCAGGACAGGCCATGTGGGAAATCCCTTCCTGGCTGTCCGACTGCAGGCATGATGACAGTGTTGCACTTCTGCTCTGCTGGGAAGTCATTCCCTGCCCACAGCTCTTGGCCTTTATTCCTCATCTTGAACCCCCATGCTCTTGTGCCTCAGTTTCTTGAGGTAGACATGGTTCCCATTGGCCTTTATTTGTGCATCTTGTGGCTGAGTCTCATCCCTCCTGTGCCCCAGAGTCAAGGTCCTCCTGCTCCAGGGCTCTTGCCTTTGCTTATCCCGCTGACCCCAGAGTGTCAGGGACAAAGGACTTTTCAAGAGTTGGGCTATAAATGAATACTGTTGCTGACTCCCCAGCACCTTGTGGGCCTGAGACTAAGGTGTTGAGCCTCTGCCCCAGGCAGCAGGTGGCAGGAGGAGCATCTTGCTGTCTCTGAGTCTCTGACTTTCACCCTGGGAGGCCTCCCCCCTTCATTGGGCAGCCTTTGGGTGTAGGTACCTCAGGAGCAGTCCCTGAGCTAACCCTGGTTCATACAGTGCTTTAGGAAAAGTCTGGCTAACTCTAAAAACCCGATGCTGACACATTGAAATTGGATTTCTGAGTTTTCTTGGAATTTGGAAGCCAGTCAACCCTGAGCTCCCAGTACTGTGTCGTGGCAGCCCGTGTCCCATCCACCCTGTCCCCTTCACCTAGGCTCCTAGTCACCACCCCCATGGGGTTTGTGGGGTTTCTTAGGGTGGACAAGCCATTCTCCTTCTGGATGTCTATTAAAGGTGAATAAACAGAGACAAGACTGGGAGTTTAATATTCAACAAGCATAGAGGACAGATCTGCAGTCAGACGAGCCTGCTCTGACTCCCAACCCAGCTGCTTGCTTCTAGTGTGACTTTAAACAAATGGCCTGGGCTCTTTGAGTCTCAGTTTCCCCGCCTCTTGCTGGGTTACAGGGCTGTTTTGGGGACCCCAAGACAGAATGTGCACTTCCCTTGGGGTTGGCTACTTATTTCTGGTCATAACAGTGTACACATCACATGGCCAACTCAAGCATGTGTTCCAGGAAACTTAGAATAGAAAGAAGAAAACTGGAAGTCACCTGGAAGCCCCATCTACCACTACAGGTGCTCCAGGGCTGGCCCTTTGCTGGGTTTATCACTTAACACCTTCTCTGTCTTTTAGGCAGATTTTTTGAAAGGACTGCCCGTCTACAACAAAAGCAATTTTAGTCGATTTCATGCCGATTCTGTGTGTAAAGCCTCGGTGAGTATGGGTTCAGGGAGCTGTGGGGGAGAAGGGTCTGGGGGTGATTTGCACCACCTCCATCAGCATCTCACTGAGAACAGAGGCTGATGTTTAAGCCTAGCCTCACCTAAGATTTTCGTGCATTTTCTGATCTGTGTTGGAGGGTGGGTACTGAGTGAAGGACTGAGGGGATCCTAGTCAGCTCACACTCCTAACCCACCTCTTCTGGACCCTCCCACAGAATCGACGCCCCTCAGTCTACCTGCCCACGCGGGAGTATCCATCTGAACAGAGTAAGTGGACTGTGTCACTCTGTCTTGTCCAGGCTGCTAAGGGGAAAGGTTGGAAGTTGGTTCAGGAAGTGCCTTGTGGGACACTGGTTAGCTCCTAGCCCTTGGGAACAGTGGGAAGTGTGGCTTTCTCCATAATCCTCCTCATTCCACATGCTGAGCCCCAGTTGGCCCTCATCTACCGTTCACTGGCCCTCTCCTCATCACCTGGCATCAAGTCAGGTGCCCCCTGTTAGCTCCATGACACCCTGAAATGAGTACTGTGGGACAGGGACCCAGCCCAACCTGGGGTGGGTGGCATGGGGAGGGGTTATCCAGGTTTAGGGACCTGCTGCTTGGAAAGGCCCAGAGCCTACAGAGCAGAAGGTTATCATGGCCATAGTGTTTTGTTGTATTTTACTATGATGATGATGATTTTTTTCATGGCAGAAGCCCTGAGGCAGCTACTTCTTTTTTTTTTTTTCCTTATTGATTTTAGAGAGAGAGGAAGGGAGAGGGAGAGAGAGATACAAACATTGATGAGAGAGAACTTGGATTGGCCGCCTCCTTCATGTCCCCCATTGGGGATCAGACCCACAACCTGGGCATGTGCCCTGACTAGGAATTGAACCAGTGACTTCTTGGTGCATGGGTCGACACTCAACCACTGAGCCACAATAGCTGGGCCATAGTGTTTTATTTTAATCATGAAAAAGAATCCACATGGACCCTGCTGGATAGCTTCTGTGGTTGCTGGGGCTCAGCTATGTAGAATAGTGCTTCTGTTTGGCCTGGGAAGACACGTGTGAGCCTGCATGCCAGAGTTCCTCTCCAGCCGTAGGGTAGAAACACGAATGCAGTAGTTAATTCTGCATTTCTTAGAAGAAGGGACCCCAAAGCAGCTGGTTCAGGCCCGTGGTAGTGGATGTGGGCTCAGGATGGAAAACCCTGGGCTTCCTGAAATCTCCTAGGTTGGGGTACTGACTTGAGTCCCAGAAAGTCCACTCAGGGCAGGCACGACCCGGCGGCCAAGGAGGGATGAGCAATGTCCTGGAGGGGCAATGCTGGCCAGGAGGGAGGCTGGGCCATCTGCTATCATCTCCCTGCAGCTTCTTCCTGCAACTTTGTCCTTCCTCTTTCTTTCTCAGTCATTGTGACAGAAAAAACAAACATTCTTTTGCGCTACCTACATCAGCAATGGGACAAAAAGGTAAGGCATGTGGGCTATGGGTGCTGGGACTCAGGGGGAACACAGTGCCCAATACAGGGGTTCTGAGTCGGGGAAGGACATGGGTCTGGGAGACGGGAGATACAAGTTGGGTCTTGAGGGCTGAACGTGAGTTTCATAGGCGATTCAGGAAAGGGAAGAGTTTCAGAGGAGGGAATGGCTGTGCAAAGGCCAGAGAGCTCTGGTGCTCGGATGGGCAGGGCCTGGCCAGCCGTACCAAGGCTCAAGCACCTCCAAGGCCCAGCTTTCACAGCCTGCAAGCCAGCACAGCCCTGGTGGCAGATGGACCAGTGATTATCTGGATTCCTTGTTCAGTGGCAAAAACATACATGTGATTAAAATCCAGGCAAAATCCCTGGCCGATGTGGTTCAGTGGTAGAGCACCGGCCTCAGACTGTAGGGTCTCAGGTTCAATTCCTGGTCAAGGGCATGTACCTGGGTTGCAGATTCCATCCCTGGTCCCAGTTGGGGCATGTGTGGGAGGCAGCCAATTGATGTGTCTCTCTCACATAGATGTTTCTCTCTCTCTCCCTACCTCCTTCCTACTCTCTAAAAAAAATCATTGGAGCCCTGGCCGGTTTAACTCAGCGGTTGGAGCATTGGCCTGCGGACCAGAGAGTCCCGGGTTTGGTTCCCGCTAGGGGTACGTACCAAAAAAAAATCATTGGAAAAAATATCCTCAAGTGAGGATTAACAACAAAACTATCCAGGGATACAAGAGGGTGTGACTGCCATGAAGTCATTGCCCCTCTCCTCCCCCCAAGAGGCTGCCTTTTTAACATACAGGACATTTTTCTCTTTCTTTATTGAAAATCTCTACATGTTGTTCTATAAGCTCAGTTTGTTTTCTCGCCTAACATTGAACATATGACAGCAGCCTGCTCTGGGCAAGTCTGAAGGGGGATCCATGATGAAGTGACTCCTTAGAAAACTTGAGCTCCTGGCCCACACTGGCCCCTTCCTCAGGCCTTAGTTCTAGAAAGGGAGGAAAGGAATTTTTCCCAAACTGGGGCCACTTGCCTCTTATGTGGCAATGCATAAGCCTCCCCAGGAACTAATGAGGGCCCTTTGTGCTTCAGCAGAGTGCATCACTCCCCTGAGCGTTTTGGGCCATGTGTGGGTCCTTGTGAGCCATGGTGACTTTGCAGTGCTCATTACAGGCCTGCAGCCCCAGGGGACTATGGCTTAGTGGGGCAGGTCCAGTGATGGGAGGGGCTGCCCAGCCAGGGGCCCTGAGTTTACTGCCCTTCTGGAAGCCCAGCTTTGTGACCCCTGCAATAGGATTTGGAGAGGTCACCTAAGTGAAGTACTTTTTTTAAAAATAATTTTTCTTTAACTGATTAAATTTTATTTTGCTTTATTGATTTTTTTTGTTGTTAGAGAGAAAGGAAGGGGGGTGAGGAGAGAGAGAAACAGTGATGAGAGAGAACATCGATTGGCCGCCTCCTGCATGCCCCCCACTGGGGATTTGGCCCACAACCTGGGCATGTGCCCTGACCAGGAATCACACTGGTGACCTCTTGGTGTATGGGTCGACACTCAACCACTGAGCCATACCGGCCAGGCTTCTTTATTGAATTTAAATCCTTACCCAAGGATATTTTCCTTTTTTTATTTATTTTTTTATCCTCACCCAAGGACATTTTTCCATTTTTTTGTTCAGATAGAGCAGGAGGGAGAAAGAGGAAGAGAGAGAGAGAAACATCAACGTGAAAGGGACACATCGAGTAGCTGCCACCTGCACAACCCAACCAGGGCCGGGGACAAACTGCAACTGAGGTACATGCCCTTAGTGGGAACCGAACCTGGGTCTCTCTGGACCGCAGGCTGATGCTCTAACTGCTGAGCCAAACCGGCTAGGGCAGGATATTTTTCTAATTATCTCCAGACAAAGTGGGAAGGAGAGAGAGAGGGAGAGAGAGAAAAACATCAACACGAGAGGGACACATTGACTGGTTGCCTCCCACACCACTCTGATCAGGGCTGGGGGCACAAACTGCAACCAAGGTACGTGCCCTTGGCCGGAACTGAACCCGAGACTGGTCTGCGAGCTGACACTCTACTGCTGAGCCACAACGGCTGGGCTTCTTTCTTGATTTTAAAGAGAGGGGAAGGGAAAGGGAGAGAGATAGAGACATTGATGAGAGAAAACAGCGATTGGCTGCCTCCTGCATGCTCCCCACTGAGGATTGGGCCCACAACCTAGTCATGTGCCCTGACTGGGAATCGAACTGGCGACCTCGTGGTGCATGGGTTGACCCTCAACCACTGAGCCACACCAGCCAGGCTAAGTGAAGTCTTAATAGCCCTTCTCCTTCCCTGCCTCCTAGAACGCTGCCAAGAAGAGAGACCAGGAGCAAGTGGACCTCGAGGGCGAGAGCTCAGCGCCTCCCCGCAAGGTCGCACGGACCGACAGCCCAGACATGCACGAGGACACTTAAGACTCATGGTCCCCCATAGGTGCCTCCTGTCTTGTCTGCTCCTCACCCGTCTGCCATGTGTAAGCACCCTGCCCGCCCACCCACCCACACCCTGCCATGCACACCACTTTCAACCTCATAGGAGCCGATGTATTTATTTTCCTTGAGTCTTTATTTATGCTGTAAAATGTACCGAGCGATGGTTTATAGGGGACATCAGACCCAGTAGAGTGATGTTGGTAGAAGCTTCTTTAAAACATTGTTATTCATCACCCTACCCCACCCCAGATCCTTTCCTCCTGTTCCCCAGTCCTCCTCTGGAGAAACCAGAGTGTCTTCGAGTGTCTAGAGATGAGCCCTGCTGCAGCTGGGTGACAGGGGTGGGGCCCTTCTCCCTACTTCCATCCACTGGTCCGGCCTTAAAGACTTGGCCTCGACTCTAATTCCACCGGGATCTATTCCATGCCTGGACCCTGCCCTGAGAGTACGTCATGGGGAGAAGTCAGCCCTTTCGGATCTTTCTCTTAAGTCATTTTATCATGGACTGGTGCGTGCTCCGTGTCCACCCCAATAAAAGGATCTTTCCTACTTGATCTTGCGTCTTTGCTCCACGTGCCTCAGCCCCAGAGGATGGAGCTACTGAGAGTTGTCCCATCATCACCAAGAGGAACCAAGAGGGGCCCCTATGAGCTGGGGCTTCAAGACCTGCTCAGAGCCAAGACCTTCCTGGACCCGCCCTTCTGCTTCACCTGCCAAGTGTCCCTGAGGATCAGGACACCCCCGAAAGACAGTCCACGCCACTAAGGACAGAGCTGTGGTGGACCCTACACCCAGGACATTGACAAGCAGGGTGGTACGCCCACCAGCCACTGTGGAGACAGCCTAGGAGCCCCTGGCACATGGAATGCAGTGGAAGTAGGGGGCATTCAGGCCCCAGGTAGAAGGTTTGAGGCCCTGAGCACTGGGCCCAGGGCCCGGGGTAAGGCTGCTTCTACCTCCACCAGCCCTGAATGGGGGCTGTGGTATTAGAGGGTAGTGAGGGGTTGGGCCAAGGAGCTGGAGGGGTACTGGCCCTATTATCCTCATTGGAGGGTCCTTCCTAAGCCACATTGCTTGGGCCTGGGCTGTCTAGCCACCACCCTGAGAGGACGGTTCCAGGATAGGCCACCCACTGTGTTGGGGCCAAGAGGTTTTGCCTCCCAGCTCCGGGTGGCATTCATACCATGAGCTCAGTGTTCATGACTGTGGTCACAAGTCAGGTGCTTAGGAAATGCAAGCTTGGCAGCTGTGCAGAGGTGGCTGAGACCCTGGAGGCTGTCTGACCCACTAAGAATCCATGCACAGGCACATGGCAATGCTGATAGTGACTGCGAAGCTAGTGGGATGTCAGCTTCAAAGCCATGGGGCAGAGCAGGAGCAGGCGGCACCTGCACTCTTACCTCCCTGGCCCTGATTCTCCTTTGCATCGTGCCAGTGCCATCTGTAGTAGGGTCCCATGGCCATGCCACACCCAGACCTCTTGGGTGCAGGCCCCTTAGCTGGTCTCCGTCTACTCCTCCTGCCTTTAGGTCCGCCCTTACTCTGCTCCCCCAAACACCAAACTGCCTTCCCACACCTCTGTGCCTTTGCACAGGCTGCTCTCCTGCCTCCAGTGAACCCCGATTTCTTTCATGGCCCTCCACAGTGCCCCTTCTTTACACGGGCTCACCCAGCCCTGGGGTGGGGCCCATTTGGTCTCATAGACTTTGGATGTGGAGATGGTTGAGGTGTGAAGAGGCCATATCCATCCCCAATCACATAGGGAAGTCACAGTGACGGGTGTGACAGCTATCCCACAGTGGGACATCCTAGCCACTTCCCAACTCCACCCTGTCTGTCCAGGATCTCCAAAATGCACCATCCCCTCAACTTTTCACCTTGGGAGCAAGATGCCTTCCAATTTTCATGTCCCAAGTTCTTTCCACCTCTCCTGGCTCCTCAAATGGCAGCCTGGGAGAGGGGTGTCCAGGAAGTGCAGATGATAAAGGGGACAATGTCACCTGTCACCCTGCAGGGCTGCAGCTGACTCAGGACCCAGGCCCAGCACCCTTTGAGATTTCTTCTTGTTTAGGAGGCTGAAGATACGGCAGGCTTGAGGCTCAGTAGCTCCTCCCATGGGCCTGGAGTCAGCCCCCAAATGTGGGCCGTCTCAGGTGGTACAGTCTGGAGTTTTCCATGTGGCCTCCAGACCCACTTTTTAGGAGGAGGCACCAAGGTTGCAAGATAGGAGGTACATCAATCTCAGGCTCACCAAGCTCCGAGAGTCAGTGTGAACCTCAAGCCACTGGGCCCCCTGAACTCCATTTCCATTGCTCCATTTTCAGGCACTGTTGAAATATACTTTTTATTGCAATTCTGCCGTTTTACAAAAATATGACAAAATAAATTAAAAACATAAATAATCACCTGTTCTGTGTTTTCTGTTGTTTTGGGGGAGTTTCAGTTCCCCCATCCTAGTCAAAAGGAAAACGGCAGATAGGGGGGCCAGGCTGTTACCCCAGGAGGGGGAGGCCAATACTGGGGGCTGAGGGGGCTAAAGCATGTCTTCTGGGAGGTGGCTGCCCATTGGTGACTGCTATTGCATGAGAACAGGAAGGCAGGGCGCCAGGTAGAGCTAGTGCCAGCCACTGGGCCAGCACAGAGCCTGGGGGCTGGGGCTGGGAGAGGCCACGGGGGACTCGGGGGCCTCAGAGGATGGTGGCAGAGGTGGAGGTGCAAGGCTATAGAAGCTGGCATCCCCTGGCAGGGGCTGGGGGGTGGGTGGGGGCCCAGCCAGGGCACAGGGTGGGCACTCTGCATTGGCAGTAGGGGCCTGGTGGGGGGCAGTGCCTTCACCCCCACAGCTCCAAGGCCCATCCCACTGCCAACAGCCAGTGGGTGGTGTCGGGGGCCTGGGCAGAGGTGTTGGTGTTGGTGGCAAAGGGCTCCGGCTGCTGCGGGTGCGAAGGACTGGGGCCAGCGCTGTCCCTGCGGAGGTGAGAGGGGCTGTTCCGGAGGATGCCGCCCCACAGTCACTGGACCCCACTCAGAACCCTGCCTGCCACTCCCTCCTAGCTTCTAGGCACATCAAGGCCTTATTGCTTCTGATCAGTTTTGGGGTATACCCTCTACCTGCAGCACTGTACCATTCCCCCCTGGGGAAAGGTCAATCTCAGGAAGTCCCTCTAACTTCACACCTAAGTTCCTGGTCCTGCAACTTCCAACTCATGGGCTCCCTGGTAATGGGCTGCTGGACTCCTAGCTGGGGTCGGAACAAGTGAAGGAGAGGCCAGGAGGTGAGGCCCGTGTCTCTGCTCAGCCTGCGGCCAAGCTTCCTGGTTGGGCAGCTTCAGACCCTGCCTCAGGAAGGCCTCCTTGAACACTGGGTTTCAGGGTGGGGACTTGCATAGAGGCCTGGGGGGTCCAGTTCCCCCCAGAGTGAGCTGGGTGTAGAGACTCATGGGGGCAGGAGAGGCTTGGCCAGGTGGTGAAGGGGCCTCCCTCATCTCTACTGGCACTGGAGATGGTGGGCTGGGTGCCCAGGGAGGGCACTAGGACAGGGGCTTTGGCATCCCTCCCTGGGGTGAGGAGGGTCAGGCACAGGGCTCCAGGCACTGGAGGGTCCTGGAAAGACTGAGTAGTCTTTACTGAGAGGATTCAGGTACCAAGGATCCAGGTCCCCTACTGGTATCAGAGCCTGGGTCTCTTCTGTCCCCTTCAGCCGCTCTCCCCCAGCCTAGCTACCCCACCATACCCCCAGATCCCAGCCCAGGGTCCCCACCCCCGAGTTAAAGCTTGTGACCTGAGCCTTCCTCTTCCAGCCGGAGGGCGTCTGACTCCTCAGCCGCAGCCTCATCCACAGGCCCACTGCGCTGGGCCCGGCCACCGCTGCCACTGCCGCCGCCAGAGGTCCCATCCAGCCGGACCTGCCCGCCCGCCCCATTGGCCCCAGCTTCCGCCCGGGCCCCGCTGCCAAAGGGGAAGAGCTTGCTGGCGTGGAAGGCCTTGGGTGGCGAGTGGCTGCGCTCAGGGTCCCGCCGGGTCTCAGGTGACTTGAGGAACTTGAAGCTGAGGAAGGCTGGCAGGCGGGTATCGCTGCCTGTGGGTGACTGAGCAGGGGTTGGCCGAGTGGCGGGGCCGGGCCCCGTGCCTGCTATTGAGGATGTGGCCCCTGATGATAAAAACTTTCCCTGCAGCGGGATGATCTGCTTCAGCTTCATGACATTGTTAGGTGCCAACAGGGACCCTGGGCGCTTGGGCCGCTCTGAACCATGGCCACCCACCCCGCTGCCCTTGGCCTTGGCTGAGGCCTTCTCAGGGGCAGCGGGGTCCAGCCCGGAGCCCTCGGACCGGGTTTCCTCCCGGCTGCTTGTGTCACGCTCCCTCCGGGCATGGTGCTCTGCGTGGCGCTGGCGCTCCTCCTCCTCCCGTCGCCGCCGCTGCTGCTGCTGGTAACGATGCTGGGCCTGGCGCTCGTGTCTCTGCAATCAGAGTGGGCTGTTAGAGGAACTGGGAAGAAAGAGTGTGTGAGCTCTCTGCAGAAGTGGGGAAAGATCTAAACACTCATTGGGGGGTGCTCATTGCATCTCTTTTCCCATACCGGTGCTTTCTGAAAATTGAGAAAAGAACATTTACTGGCCACCAACTGTCTCTAGCCACGTGCCAGACACCATCTTATGAATTGGGAGACAAATATTGGGCCTCAGTAGTCCTCTGCTTTCTGAAAAACCAGCCAGAGACAGAGCCATGACTAGCATAGACCAGAGACAAATATTGGGCCTCAGTAGTCCTCTGCTTTCTGAAAAACCAGCCAGAGACAGAGCCATGACTAGCATAGACCAGAGACAACAGCGGCCAGAGCAGTTGCCACATGTGGCTTTGTCAGTGTCAATTCAAGTGTGCGTTGGCCACCTGTTCTGAGGGGTTACATCGGCAGCATAGACACAAGAAACTTCATCACCATGGGGAGCTCCGTGGATTGGTCCTGGAGAGCTCCAAGGGTTGGTGCCCATGAGCTCATTGACCCACTCCGAAGCTTTCTGAGGAATGTGGCAGAGGCTGGGCTTCTAGGAAGCATCAGCTGTGCCCCTGACCCTGAATGGGATGTTGCTGGACAAGCTGGTGGTGACTGAATGTTCAGAGTGCCAGCCTGGTGTTGGATGCCTCCAGGATTCCAGAAGGGACCAAGTCCATCTGGAATACTATTA